GAGAGGAACCCTTAGCAAGTGCGGGGCAGCAGCTGAGATCCTTTCTCTAGGTTTGAACTCCAGCTCTCTCCCACGGAGGAGAAGCCAAGCTAGGAGGCAGCTCTTGAGAATTCTTGAAGCTGGGACGCAGGGACTTCAGTTCTAGGCCTGATGCCTCAAGGTGCTGGCTGGGTGGCCTGAGGCAACCAGTGGCTGTTTTTCCTGTTATCAAATGGGAACAGTCATACCTTTCCTACCTACCTGTCAGGGGTGTTGTAGGATCTCAGGTATGACAGATACATGAGAAGCATGCTGAAAAATATAATACACCATGCAAATGTGAGGAATTATCACATCTCAATCGGGTTTCCTCCTCAGTATGCTGGCTTTCCTTGGGGCGATGCAACGTAGGCAAAGCACATGGCTCCTATCAGGCCACGGTAGGAAGATGGGCTCTGGGAGTTGACCCAGGCTTCATTGTCACCTGCGCCCTCCGAGGTCCTTCGCTCCCATCTCCATTCACCCTCTTCATCACCTTCCCACCCTCCACACGTAGGTTCATTCCCCAGGTTCAGGAGGGTAAGACGTCCTTTGGCTTTTTCCTTCATAGCTTTCTTCACCTCTCTGACATTAGCTGTCTTTGTAGTCATGTCTGTCTTGCCGCCACTAAAACGCATCCTCTATGACAGCAGGGACAACCTAGGACAGGGTCTGGCTGTGCCGTGGTGATTTGATAAAAATTTGGTAAAATGAGGGATGGATGCCATGAATATGTGTTGTTTCTTTCTTCTGTGTCCCACTCTGGAAAAGTGACTGGTTGTGGAGTTCCCAGGCCAGATCCCAGGTCACCTAATGTCTCTGTTGTCGATTTCTGGGTCTGTAAAGTAGGAATAATAACACACCATGTATGTTGGGAGGCTCCATGAGATAATGAATCTCATGACGGGCAAGGAAAGGGGTTATTACGCTATCTCTTTTGTTTTTGACTTAGAACCTGGATCACAGACAGGAGACTTGGAGGGAGGAGTGATAATTTAAGAACTTCAGAGGTAGTCTCCCCTTAACTCTCATTCTAGGGTTCTGGGGTGATGATGGTGACGATAGCTATTATTTACTGAAATTATTCTCTGGCAAGCTTTAGGTTTAAACGAATTTCTTATGTTAATGCACTTAATTCTCCTAACAACCAGAGATTAACTCTACTGTAAAGTAACCACCCCGGTGACTCTCCATTACATTACTGTGTTCTAATTTTCTTCACAGCATTTATCACTAGCTAAAATTAACTCACTTACCTACTTGTTTATGGTCTGTCTTCCCCAATTAGACTGTAAGTTCCTTGGGAGCAGAGCCTTATCTGTCTCGTTTTTGGCTGACTTCCTTGTGCCCGGAAAAGTCTTTGACTTCAGTAAACCCATGTAACAAATGAGTACATAGGCCTAGAAGGACTAAGGGGCTACTCCAGGACACAGTTGCTAAACCCTGTTTGTGATCCCGGTACTACTTCCTCCCACGGTGCATCAGGCTCTGCTGTGCTGTGCCTGGTAGAGGTCTGAAGTTAAAAAGATTGTCCAAGGCCAAGTCCTTACGCCTGATGGCCCCCCCAATTCCCCTTTTCATCTTCCCATAGCTTAGGAGTTGGACAGGGATAGGCACAGATAATCTGTGTAGGTCCCAGAGCAGGTGACCTTATAGGACAGGAGTCTCCTAGTTTCCCATTTGTCCTGGCCTGTCACTCATGACTAAACCTCCCTCCTTCTTGCAACCCATTTCACATTCCTCTCATATCAGCTCTTGGGACGTTTTTCTCTGTCTCACCCACTGAGTCCTCAGCCCTCACACATAACCTTGAAGAGAGCAGAGCAACAAAAGTTCTTAGATTTCAGGATTTGACACACAATCCAATGCCACTTTTATCCACAATCAAGACTTTCTGGAAGCTGCATGTATAGTCTTAGAAGATGATATTGACTGGTTGTGTGAGCAGGCACGGGGACCAGGACACTAAAACTTCCCAGGTTTTGGCCAGAAACCTTTCTAGTCATTGCCTTGCCTTCCTACTTAGCATCTCCTACCTTGTGCGGGTAGGAAATTCCATTCTGCTTTGCAACAGAGAATTAGTTCAGTGTTTTTCAGAGGAGGGAAGTTTCCAGAATAGGAAAGGTGTCTAGAAAAAGACTAGCACAAGAGATGCATCTCAGAGTCCCACACAGGTCCAAAACCAAGTTATGCCTCCACCACTTACCGACTGAGTGATCTTGAGTATCTTGAGTACCAATTTCCCCTTCTACAAAAGAGGCTGATGATTTCTATTTCTACAAGCTGTTGCGTGACAGTTGAGATGTCACAAAAAAACAGTTGGCATCATGTCTACTAAAGTAAATGCTTAAGGTACAGCAGCTGCTGTTTTTCAAGGAATCAGACTTTGGGATCCCAACACGCTGGACCAGAGATCCCTGTAGACCAGGAGGGTCCCCAGGTGAACAGAAGCCATCATAGATTCTTTTGTTTTGGCTATGTCTTCATTGTTGTCTTCTAAAACGTCTTTTTATAGAAAGGGTAAAATAACTTACTGCTCCTCAAAACTGATAATGATCTTTCCATCCGTCAGCACACTGAGACCAAAGGCCAAGATCTGGCCCTGTTCCTAGATGACCATATCTCACAACACTTTGTAACCTCTCAGTGTCTAGCTCCAGCCTTAATGCAGTTGTGGCTTGCGTGTATGAAGAACATGCTATGTGTCAGGTGCAGTTCTCAGCATTTTTCAAGTGCTGATACATTCAATTGTCATAGTCTTCCCTGGTCGGTACTTTTCTTGGACTTACAAATGAGAGACAGTGGTGGCGACCAGTCAGAAGAGGGAGGAGAAGTAGGGCCCTGCAGGCCTTTTCCCTGTTTGCCCTAGACCTCCTTAGTTTGGGATTCTCTTCATGCTGGGGTGAGCAGGAGGTGGGGACAGCTACCCTAGGCTTGTTCAGTAAATTCCTCTGACTCCAGGCCCAGAAGGAAGCTAGGAGGGGCCTCTTCTCACCTTCTGGCTTGAGGCTCCTTGGTTTATACCAGCAGAAACTCGGGGTGTGCCTCCCTTCCACACCCCTAGAGCAGGAGGCATTCTGTCATTTGTCTTTCCTTTGTGACAGCTCCTTTTGCCTCCCTCTCAGAGCCTAACACCCTACACCCTGGAACCCAATGACATGGGGAACACTGCCCTGGGTGATGCCCCTGGAAGAGCTGTGTTGTCCCCCACACCACCCTCCATCTGCCGGGGTCTGGCCTCGGCTGCTGTTTCCACTTTGACTCAGAGAATGTGGGTCTGAGCCACTGGGAAACAGGTGGGCACTTCCTGTGACACATCTCATGAGGGCCTTACTCACCCGCCGATCTGCCACGGTGCCTAGCATCCCACCCCTAGTGCATTACATAGCTTTGGTGCTGGCCAGACTCATTTAAATCCTGTTCACATCCTCTTCCAACGGAATGATGACGGCAGGCATTGTTCCCCCCACCCAGTCTCAGGCTTCTTCATCTGTGAGTTAAAGCAAATGATCTTACCTTGGAGCAGAGCTACTGCATGGGCAGTGTTCATGTGTGTGATGGTAAATGGCAGCTGGCATTATTTGTGTTCTCAACATGGGTGAGTCAGTCGGGCCCTTGTCGACATAGAAAGCGTGGCCTTGGGCACGAGCAGACCAGAGAGGATGCACTTCGTCTCTGTGGCTCTCTCCCCTGAGCCTGGAAAGCCCATCCTGCTTCCTCCACACACTGGGCCCTAAAACGAGCAAGTAGATGATAGCCCTCGGTGGTTCTCAAAGTGTAGGCTTCAGGTTACCAGCAGTAGCACCAGGGAAACTTTTAGAAATGCAGACTCTCACTAGCACACTGAGAGCCTCAGGAAGTCTAGGCCTAGCAATCTAGGTGTCAACAAACCCACCAATGTCATCTCATGGAGATGGAGTCTGAGAGCGTGGTCCTATATAGCAGCATCCTCTGCCCCCGCAAGCCACTTCCTTAGTGGGGCCTGAGACAGCTCCCTTTGAACTGTCCCGAGTTTCAGTTCCTCCACGGTAAAATAGAGATGTAAGAATAGTGTCTGCCTTATCAGGGTTGTTGTGGCAATCACGTTTGATGATAGTTCATGAAGAGTGCTTAGTCCGCTGCCCAAAACATGGCCAGTGCTCACTGAAGGTTAGCTATTACTTTGTTTTTATTAACATCAGTGTTCTATATTTTATCCCCACGTCTGCTCTTCCTCCCACCGCTTCTGAGTGAGATAGTCTGTCATGCTGGGTGTCCCCACGAAAATGTCTGCCTCCTCCAGAAAGCCGTTCCAGACTCCTTTCCTCTGAGCCCATGGGGCTTGACTGTTGAGCTACAATGACTTAGGTTTGTCCAGGCATCCTGGCGCAGTGCCCAGATTCTGCCTACCTCTGCATGTCCTGCAGCTCTCAGCTCTGCTTCCTGGCATCGGAGGCACTGCTCTGGGACCCTGCAATAAATGTCGATCTGAAATGCCATTTCCCAAGACCAAGCTCTGCCTGAGGGCTTCCTGGCCCTGGCAGTCTCTGTCACTTGCCACGTTTTCTCCCCGAGCACAGTGTCCTGCAGCCTCCTGTGCCTGTCATGGTCTTGAGGACAAGTGCTTCTGAGAGCAAATGCTGGGTTATCTGGAAACTGCCTTTCACAGCATGTCCTTGTCATTGCCCATCCTGGCACACAAATCCCCCTGGGGTAGGTGTCTGTGGTGGAAGCATTTTATTGCCTCCTCTCTGTGGTTTTCAGGGTTGGCTGTAAGGTCCTTGGGTGGTCGGTGAGGCTACCAAGGCTCAGGCCGGCAGCTTCCACATGGCAGCATCGGTACTGACCTAGGTCCAGGGCTCACGTCCATTCCCCTTCCATCAGTGCTTCATGGGGACAGAAGAAGCAGCTCCCAGCTCCCAAGGCTGACAGCTGAGTTCTCAGGCATCGGCCTGAGGTGCCATTCAGGGACAGCCTAATTCTGACCCTGTGCTTGCCTTCAGTTTCAGGTCTGTACGGCTGCTGAAGAATGACCCAGTTAATTTCCAGAAGTTCCCCTATGCTAACGAGGATGAGGCCTGGAAGACGTACCTGGAAAACCCCTTGACAGCTGCCACGAAGGCCATGATGAGAGTCAATGGGGACGACGACAGCGTTGCAGCCCTGAGCTTCCTCTATGATTACTACATGGTACGTTCGCCACTCCTGTGCATGTCTGTTTCTGACCGAATGTGTGTCTTGCTTTCAGGCCCCATGACTAGCAGCTCACTGTGATCTCCCCTGCTAGCCCCTCACCTCTGGGCCTTTGCACTGGCTGTTTCCTGTTCCTAACCCTCTCCTCCTTCTTCCTGATCCAACCCACTCTCAGTCTGAGTCTCAACCTACACGTCACCTCCTCCTCTGGTGGGAAAGAGAAGATTTTCTTGGATCTTCCATTCCATTCCTCCCCCGGGCACCCTCAGCCGTATCAGCATCCTGTTTGCCTCTTCCTTATATTCGTGCTGTGTGCTCATTTATTTTTCCATCTCCTGAACAAGACTGAGCTCCTGGAGGGCAAAAATGCACTGTGATCATCGCTAGTCCTCCACCCGGGGCCCGACGCATATGGGCTGAGGGGGTGAACGCCTGGCTCAGCTCTTGCCTTGGCCAGGCGCTCTGTGTCACAGCAGCACCCCAACTTCCATCCTTCCTCTTCCATCCTCCACACTGTGGATTATAACAGTTTCCTGGTCATCCCCACCTAGCTCTTCCTGCCCCGGACCGAGAACACACCATCTGCTCTTTAACCCATTCCTTTTCCTTCCTTGGACTCCATTCTGCCATAGTCCCTCTTCTCCCATGAGTATCCTCCCGGCGTACCATGCTGCCTTTCACTGTTCTCTAACTATTTAAACTATTTAAACTAACTATTTAAAGCTATCACACATATGAAATACGCAACACCTCTACCACATCCAGTGTTGCTGCCAGACATTACTAATGGATTACAGCCAGCATTCTCACTGAGGGTACATGAGACTGGGGGTTTTGTCAACTCAGGACTGAATTAAGACAAGACAGGGACATGCTGTCCCTGGCCTGAGAGATTGCTCCTGGAGACTTTTCTGGATTTGAGGACGAGGTGCATGTATAGCCAATTGCTGAGATAATGGGCTCTGAAGTTGCAGATGTAAAGCCACCTTATATATATAAGTCCTCAAATTTACTAGCCCAAGAAGTATTTTATCCACGCTCTAGCAAGAAAGAAGGCAAGTTCTCTGCCAGAATCTAGAGGCCAAGGGAGGGTGGGGCAGATGGTTCCAGACAGAAGGCCCCTGCCCATCTCTCTGGCTTTGTTCTCACCTGGGCTGGTGAGTTTTCCCTCCCTTTGTCCCCCAGTGGACTGGGAGCATCCTGAGAGCATCCGGCCCAGGCTAGTGGAAAAAGAATGCGAATGGCTACTCAGCACAGGGACTTGATGGGAGCCGTAACTTTCTATTAGGGTTTGAATCCCCACTGGAATTTACAGGTTGAAGATGGACCACAAAATACAATCCAGCATTATCTGTCTTGGGCAAGGGGTGATTTCCAGGGCTAGAGGGTGGGGCCGGGCTTGGAAGGGAATGCTTGTATTTGTTTCTGTGTGTTACGGTGTCTTGATGAGAGCTGGTCTGGGTTTAGAGCAGCCCTGCAGACACTGAGGACTGGGTCCGATGGCAGGGCCAGATCACCAGCTTGGGATTTGAGACTTTGTCATGCCTCAAACTGTCAATGTGGCTTTGGGTGCTACAATGCCGAAGGTGACCACTTACTGATTCATTGACTGTCTCGAACTCTCCCCTGGGTGTGAGCAACAGCCTGGGCTTGGGAGCCATCAGACAGGGTTGGAGTCTTGGTGCCGGCCTTCTAGGCCTTAGGGATGAGTGAATTAGAATGCTCTGACAGGTGACATTATAAGCATGACAGGGCAAATTTATATGGCCATGCTCTCCACATGCTGCGTGCTGCTCTAAGCAATCACAAAAATCCCTCAGTACCTAGGGGTTGACTTTGAGAAGTCTGGATTCAGAGTCACATTCCAAAGTGCCAGTGGAATCTCTGGCCCTCAGTGTCCTTTTCTCTGTAGTGGAGATGGTAGCGGTAGCGAAGGTTCGGTTAGAGAATAGCATTTAGTACAGGATCTACTACATAGGAAGTACTCTGTTTCTAAAAAGCAAGTGTTACTTTTATTAGTAAATCTTCATAATTCCCCACTTAACGTATGAAGACACTGAGTTTTAGCAAAGTGTAGTCATCTATCCAAAGTCATCCAGAACTTTAAAGCAATAAAGCTTAGGCTCAGGCCTGCCTGACCCCAGATTCCATGCTCTTTAACTGCTAAGTCCGGAGTGCTTCTCCCTGACTTGGGGCATAGACTCCATGTTGGCCACAGTTCCTGCCAAGCTGAAAGACCCTCAGGTTTTCTCTCAGTGCCTGGACAAGGCCCCAGGAGGGGGAGTGGCTCCTAGCAGCCAGGTCTTAGCCAAGAAGCACACAGGAATCCTTCCTCCCTCCCTTTCAGGGCCCCAAAGAGAAGCGGATACTGTCCTCCAGCACCGGGGGCCGGAACGACCAAGGAAAGAGGTGAGGCTGGCTGAGACGTCTCTGCGCACCCCTCGCCCTCAACACACCCCACTCCCTCCTCACACACAGGCATAGAGGCCCTGCAGGACCTGTAGGGACTCAGGGTGGAGGTGTTTTAATTTCTTTTAAAATCAGAAGAAAAGAATTAATGTAATCCAACCCAGATTAGATCTATCTTCATGCCAGTGCAACTGTACAAGATATTTCAGAATGTGTCTGAAGGGGCTGGTAAAGGCAGAAGAAGCAACACTCTACACACACACACACACACACACACACACACCCCAGATGCCTGCAGGCCCTGTGGGCTGCCATTTACTGAAAACAAACTTCAAAGCCATAGTAGTGGAAAAGCCCTGGAGGCAGCTGTTCTGTCCCAGTTCCAAAACCCTCCTCCCTGCAGCCTCACGGGGAGGGACAGCTGGCCTGTGCCTGGTGGAGGGGACACTTGAGCTCCTGAACTTCCTCCTCCCTGGCTGCCTGGCATTAATGCCTCAGGCTGCCCAGGTCCCTTTCCTCGTGGAGAGCAGCCCAGGCCATGCGCACGGCCTGACTGACCTGGGCCCCTCCCTCTGCTTTCTCTTTCTGATCTCCCAGGTGGGGCTTTGCGGGGCCTGTCCCTGCCAGGAAGACCCCGGCCACTGAGGCAGGCACTGCTTCCCCCTCCCGTGCCTCCCAACGCACCTGTGCCTGCTTGGGGCCACTCCCTGGCACTGCTGGGACAGTGGGTTTGGGTGCACACAGGCCTTTCTCAAAACGAATCTATAAGTGATATTCTAAATGCAAACACAGTGTCTGCTTTTTGCAAAAGATTCAGATTCCGTAGAACTATACAGAGTAAAATCACTCCTGCCCCCTGCACAGTTGGGGTGCGTCCTCCAGACTTTGCTCTAAACGTAGATTGCTGTACTCACAGACGCACAGCCCTGCCTGCACACACCCCTCAGGCTGACTCGGGGTCATGCCACAGGGGCATTTGACTCTGGCTAAGCCATAAAGATTAAACGGTCAGCCTCTTTAATTGACAAGACTGGTTATGGAAAACAGACATTCCCCAACCTTGAGCCTTCCCCCACCTGCTACCTCTTGCCCTGGGACACATGGGCCTGTGGCGACACACACTGGACCACAGGAGGTCAACGCCTCAGCTTCGCGGTCACTCTGCCCTCCCCAGGTTCTACCAGGGCATGGAGTATGAGACGGACCTCGCACCCCTCGAGAGCCCCACGCACCTCATGAAATTCCTGACCGAGAATGTGTCTGCAGCCCCAGAATACCCCGACGTGCTCAAGAAGAACAGCCTGATGACCCTGGAGGCGACCGCGCCTGCCCCTGCCAAGGCTGCTCTGCTCCCGCCAGGCCCCAGCAAGCTGGAAGCCAGCTCCGTGGACAGCTACCTATTGCCCACAAGTGATATGTATGATAACGGCTCCCTCGGCTCCTTGTTTGAGAACATTCACGGGGTGCCACCCACGCAGCGCTGGCAGCCAGACAGTACCTTCAAAGATGACCCACAGGAGGTGAGGGCCCATTCCCACACCCTCACGGCATCCCTGGGTATGTGTGTGTGCAGAAAGAGAAAAGATTAGTAAGCTCGGAGCTGTGGGATCCGTGGGAGAAAGATTCCTGGAGCTGAAGCAGGATCGCCATGTACTATTGTCCAAGTTGTTCACTGCACAACTTACATAGCTGTGTTTATAACCCTGGGCGGTGGCTCCTACAGTCTGAAATGGTGATTTTATTCTCTTGGGATTGTGTTCCTCTGCAGTCGCTGCTCTTCCCAGATATCCTGAAAACATCCCCGGAGCCCCCATGTCCAGAGGACTTTCCTAGCCTTAAGAGGTAACTTGGCCCTCTGGACCCTTGATCACCTGGGCAGTGGGTAGGGGGCTGCAGACCACACTTCACACTGCCTCCGGGACACAGCCAGCGTACACCCTGAGTGAGAGAGGGGAGTAAAGGCAGAGGAAAGGAGAGAGGATTTCCACATCTCTGTGACTGTCACCTCTGAGGGTTCTGATTTTCACTGGGCCTCATTACAACCAGGACAGAGGCTCAACAGAGCTGTTAAATAGAACCCGCAAAAATATGGCCCAGGGGGATTAAGTGAGCTAGAAGGTCACACAGAGAGCCCACGCCAGGCCCTCGGGCATCCCGTACCCTCCCTGCCCCCCGCCCTGGCACACCCCTGCCCAGAGCCAGGCTCACTGTCCTTTCCCCACAGTGACTTCGAGTACACCCTGGGCTCCCCCAAAGCCATCCACATCAAGTCGGGCGAGTCACCCATGGCTTACCTCAACAAGGGCCAGTTCTACCCAGTCACCCTGCGGACCCAAGCAGGCGCCAAAGGCCTAGCCCTGTCCTCCAGCAAAGTCAAGGTGCGTCCACCCCAGAGCAACCTGGGGAGGTTTAGGAGTGGGTGAGACACCGGGCCCCAGGCGGAGGCTGCAGTGGGAGTGACGCAGCCACTGTGCTTGCAGAGTGTGGTGATGGTCGTCTTCGACAATGAGAAGGGCCCGGTGGAGCAGCTGCGGTTCTGGAAGCACTGGCACTCCCGGCAGCCCACTGCCAAGCAGCGGGTCATTGACGTAGGTGAGCACCGACCCTCCTGCTCCCAATACCCTTTCCCTGACCCCAACCTCCAGCTCCAGGTCAAACCTGGTGGGCACAGGGGTTTGCATCTGCTGACCGGAAGCAGCCACTGCTTTCTGTGTTGCTTTGACTGGGAGACCTGAGTGCTGACCTGTTTGTCCCCATGGGAGTGAGGCTGAGAGAGGGCTGGCAGAGTCACATCCGCTTCGGGGCTGGGACCCTCTGGCCCTGTCAGCAGGGAGGAAAAGGGAAGTCCCTGTGTGCATCTCATGGGCCCAGCACACCCTATAACAGGTAGTGGGCAGGGTGTGGGGGCACAGCTCACCCCCAAGTCTACAGGCTGCAGCTCCAGATGCCTCCTCCCGGCTGTGTGGCCCGAGTCACCTCCCCTCCCCCATCTCAGTTTGTTCTGTCACATGGAACCAGGCCAGCTGCCGAGCCTGCCCGCAGAGCTGACTTCGGCCTGGGAGCCACGTATCCTGGAAAACAGGGCAGAGATAGGGGACCGATGAGTAACTCATCTAAGAGGCTGGACAGTAGAGTGGTTAGGGACAGGGACTCAGGAGCCAGGCACACCTGAGCACCAGGCCCTACTCTGCCTTTTGATAGGTGTGACCTTGGGCAAATAACCAAACCTCTCTGAGCTTCATGGTTCTCATATATAGACTGAATACTCAGAGCGGAGTTGTGAGGTTTGACTGAGGCCTTGCAGTTACCTAAGTGTTCAATAAATGGTAGTTGCTAATATAACTAGTTTACCACTATTGCCACCGTATCTGAGAGGTCTCCCACATCAGTCCCCACACAAAGTACAACCTCCTCCCAGTGATGAGGCACTGGCCTCGGCAGAGCTAGGGTTCTTCGGGGACTATGGGCAAATGCTCTTTTTACAGGACCTCTTTCCCCACGTGACTCGGCACAGCATTCCCCTTTCCTCCTGACCTGAGGTGCTCTTGCTAGGAGGTGGGATGCAAGCCCTGCCAAGAGGGGGCGCCTTTCCTAACACCTCTTTCCACCGTTCCCGGGGCCCTTCCCTCCTGACTATCTGTCCCCTGTGGTTGCAGCTGACTGCAAAGAGAACTTCAACACAGTGCAGCACATCGAGGAGGTGGCCTACAATGCGCTGTCCTTTGTGTGGAACATCAGTGAAGAGGCCAAGGTCAGTGCAGGTGGTGGCTGGGATGCGGGCTTGGTGACTTCTGGGCCAGTGCAGACTGTGGCAGAAGTGCTTAGGAGCTTGGGAGCTGAGGGCTCAAATCAAGTCCCCCTGCTTCTCAAGCCTGCAAGGTGGAACCCATAGATAACCTGCCCGCCAGAGCCATGGTGAGGGTTCCACAGTGGGGCCGAGCGGGGAAGCAAGGGAGGCAAAGCGGCTGGTGGTTTCCCCATGCCAATGCTTACCTCATTACCATTCTTCCAGCGTCATACCCGAGCCCAGCCACCAGCCTGGTGGGCACTCATGGGCCTCACTGAGTCCTGGTTCTGCTTAGAGAGCTGGCCTGGTGCAAAGGGCGCTGGTCTGTCCCAGAGTCAGGGTCTGGGTGGCCTTGGATCTGCCCTTTCCCTCCCTGGACCACTCTTGAGTCACCCACTAGGGGTGGGCACAGCTCTCCTCAAAGGTGTCTTTGGCCTAGGCAGTCTGGGGACACAGGGTTGCCGGCAGAAGACGAGGGGAAAGAGCTGGGGCACACAAAAGGAGGCCCAAAGGTGGGGGCTGTTATTATTCACACAGAGTGGGCTGGAGGAGGAGCCTGGCCTCAGCTTGGGGAGGTGGGAAAGTTTCGTGGGAAGGGAGAGGTGGGTTTCGGTGGGGATTTTCTCACAGCCTCTTGGGCCCCAGGCTCGGGTCTCTCAGAGGTGGGCCGGCGGCGGATGAGGAGGAAGAATGCCTGGCATGTGCCTAGGGCCTGGCTCCACAGCCTGCCAAGAAGGGGTCTGCTCAGGCATCTCACCCCACTGTTCAAGTCAGCTATGGCCAAGGGAACTGTCCCTAGAACAGGGGTCGCCAGGTACAGTCTCCTGGGCTCACCCAGCTGATACTGGTCCAGGCTGTGGGCTGAGATGGAGCCCTTCTTACCACCCTTCTTACAACAGTCACAGCATATCAGGCAGTTACCACCCTCCCTCACAGCCACATAAGACAGGTGTAATTATCCCCATTTAGTAGATAAGGAAAGGGAGGCTCCGTGAGGTTACCTCAGAGCCCGGCTTCCCACCACAGGTCTGGGGGGCCCCTGCGTCATTTTCTCTGCCTCTCGAGGAAGGTGCCTGCTCAGAGCCTCCATGGCTGCGGGATGGAAGGGGCTGGAAACAGAGGAGTAGAATGAATCCCTCACTGGTGGCCCAAGATACCAGAGCTGGGTGTTAGGGGTGGCAGGGCTATCTCACCTTTGTGCCCTGGGCCAGCAGCAAAGTGGTGTCCTTGGCTCACTCTGCACTGCAGGAAGACATCAGTCCCTGAAAGTCCCTTAGGGGCCCTCCCAGGGTGGGCTGACCTTGGTGAGAGGGTAGGGACATCCTGCCCGGTGGCAGAAGGGCCTGCATTTTGAGCTGAGGCAGCCCCGGCCCCAACACAAGCCACCTGTGTCCCTTTGGGAAAGTTACCCTCCTCTCTGAGCATTAGTTTCCGGTCTGTAAAAGAGGGCTGGTGATGTTTGCTTCCAGGGGCCCTTGTGAGGCTTACGGGCACTTGCCGGGTACACAGAAGGCTTGATGAACTTACCCAGCACCCTGCTTTGCCCTCAGGTCTTCATTGGTGTCAACTGCCTGAGCACAGACTTCTCCTCACAGAAGGGGGTGAAGGGTGTCCCCCTGAACCTGCAGATAGACACGTACGACTGTGGCTCAGGCACCGAGCGCCTGGTGCACCGTGCGGTCTGCCAGATCAAGATCTTCTGTGACAAGGTGGGCAGACCTGTCACTATCCTCAGGCCCCGGTCTGCGTCTGTCTCCTCTCTGGGGTCTCTGTCTTCATGCTTCTCACTGTCTTTCTCTCTGTACATCTTCCTGTCTCTGCATTTCTGGGCCTCTCATCTCAGCAGATCTCTTTCTGGATCTCTATAAGCCTTGCTCCACCTCTCCTTTTTTCTGTCAGTCTTCCTCCATTTTCTCTTTCTTCTGCCCATCTCTCTCAGTTTCTCTCTCCTTCTCCACCCCACCCACGCTTCCCATCTCTGTTTTTCTCTAAGCCTCTCCTTCTCGCTGCCTCTCATGGTCTATGCTGACCTCAGGCAGGCAGCGCCAGGCTGGGCTAGGCCGGGCCACAAGCTGGGATCTTTCCATCTCCTGGTCTCCCTGTGGGAAAAAAACCAGAACTGGAAGCCTGGCCATTGTGAAAGTAGCCAACTCCTCTGGAGGCCCTGGGTGATTTTTCCTTCTCGCCACAGGGAGCTGAGAGGAAGATGCGGGATGATGAGCGGAAGCAGTTCCGGCGGAAGGTCAAGTGTCCGGACTCCAGCAGCAGTGGTCAGTAGACATGGGCCAGGGGCCGGCTGGGCTGAGGTGCGGGAGGGGGGCGGAGATGGAGGGGTGGCTGGGACCTGAGCTGAGGAACTCAGGGATCAGCGGCTTCCTTTTCCCTCAGGCCTCAAGGGCTGCCTGCTGTCGGGCTTCCGGGGCAACGAGACCACCTACCTTCGGCCTGAGGCTGACCTGGAGACCCCACCTGTGCTCTTCATCCCCAATGTGCACTTCTCCAGCCTGCAGCGCCCTGGAGGGGTAAGAGCGAGGGCATGCAGAGGGTCCCAGCCTCCGCCTTGTTTGGGACAGTGGGGTGGGGAGCAACAGCAACTTGTCAGGACTGGCCCATTGAGATGTCTGCGGGGCCTGCTGTTTAAAAAGTCAAGATCAAACTCTCTGTATGAACCCCAGGGGAAAAGAAATGTCTATAGGGGCTGAGGCTGTAGCTCACTGGTAAAACACTTGCCTGGCATGTGTAAGGCCCTGAATTCAATCACACACACCACAAAGCAAATGTCTATGTGTGAATGTGAATCCAGTGACCTGTTGTACTGAAGACCAGAATGCATGGGCTGGGGATGTAGCTCAGTGGCACCACACCTGCCTGGCAAGTGCAAGGTCCTGAGTTAGATGCCCGGTACCAAAAACAGAACAGAATGTTAGTGAAGAAACACACTTTGTACCATCAAAATATTCACACTTGGAGCACACACAGAGGAGGTTTGTAATATCTGAACCCCAAATTCGACATTGATGCCAGGTGGATGGTGATCACCAGTGGAACCCTAGAGAGCACACTTTACACACTAGGTCCTGTGTGTCCCCAAGCGGCACTGTGGCCCTGTGATGTCAGTAACCCCTGATGCGAAGGGGCTGCCAGTACTGACGTGGCCTCTGGCACACTCAGGAGCACCTTCTCCATCCACCGGCCTCTCTGGGAGCAGCAGCAGTGCCAGGCACACTGGTATCAAAAGGGTTTCCATCTCTGCCTGGCGCTGCCTCAGCTCCCAGTGCCCGCTGCCAGGTGCAGGACCAGGCACCACTCCTGGCCGGGTGGGCCCCTTGCTCTGCCCAGGCTCCTCCAGCTGGGCGATTCCTTTACCCAGCCCACTTAGGGGACTCATCTGAGTGAACAGAAGGCATTGAAATGGCATCCCTTACCCACAGCGTGTCCCCCCAAAAAGCCCCCAACATGGAAATGTCTTTTCATTGCAGGCAGTGCCCTCGGCAGGACACAGCAGCTCCAACAGGTACCAGGGAAACAGCCAAGGGCTCCCCACTGCGCCCATACCCCTCACCCTGTCTCCAGCCTGCTTTTTCCTCTGCTACCCCAGCCAGGGCCTGTGGCCTGAAGAAGAGGCCACAGACCACCCCAACCCCCAAGCTCCATTCACGCTCCTCCCTCACTGAAACTGCCTAGGTTTTTATGGGTTTGTTTAATGTGAAAACTTGGCGAATCTTTGGCGAGACACCTGCTTATAAAAAGGGAAAGAAAAAGCCTCTGGGGACAGTGGGGTGGGGGGAGTACAGGCCAGGAGAACACAGAGGGGTGCTGTGCCGGGGCAACTGGGGGTAGAGCCCCAGCCCTTTCCCTTAACACACCCACCACGGAGCCTCGGCCCAGCCTCTGTCAGCCCTTCGCTCCCTCGGCATTTTAGATGCACTTTTTCTGCAGTGATTTTACCCCAAACTGTGCCACTCGCCACCTCATGACTCACCCATGAGTCAGGTTAGTGATGGTGAACCTTTTAGAGCACTCAGCGGCATAAACAGCCCGCCTCAGCACACGTGCCATAGCTTCGCCACCACCGAGTTAGGCCATCAGCAGGAGTCACTGCTCTCTACGGTGGGTGGGGAAACCTCGACTCAGGGCAGGAATCACACAGCTGCTAGGGAGCAGAGGTGGGACCGGAACCCCGAGCTTGTCTTACTCCCGATCCCACAATCCTCCCTCCTCCTGCCACTTCACACCCGACCTGATTTTTTGAAAGGACCCATGTTGATGGTGATCAAAGTCCGTTTTGACGGAGGCCACGTGCTGTCATTACCTCCTGCAGCCTCCTGACCGCTTCCTGTGGGCCTGTTTGCACTTTATAGATGGGATCCCCTGAGGCAAAGGAACTCAGTCCAGGGCACGTGCCCAGTGCACAGCTGGGCTGGGATGTGAACTCAGGCTGTCCAGTCCCAAACCTGCTTCTTCCCCTGCGGTCCCGCTGCCTTGTGCCTGCCATCCTGTGGCCTTCCCCACTCCAGGGCCCCTGGAAGCTCAGCAGGGTCCTCACCAGCCACCCCCCCCCGCCACCCTCACAGGCTGCCCCTGAAGCGCACCTGCTCACCCTTCGCTGAGGAGTTTGAGCCCCTGCCCTCCAAGCAGGCCAAGGAAGATGACCCTCAGAGAGGTAGCTTCCCCTCCCCGGATGCCCTCAGAGCCTCCAGCCTCCTGGGAGGCAGGAGGGCTGCTTACCCCTTGGAGTGGGTTTGGGCAGAGACTTGGGGTGGGTACAGAGGGCCCTTATAGGGCCAGAGGTGTCTGCCTGCCCCAACCTTAGTAGAGACACTGTGTCCTAGAGCGGCTGGCTCAGGCAACAGGCCCACTGTGCTGGCCAAGGCCACTCCCTCTCTCCAGCGGGGGAGGAGTGCAGTGGTGTTTCAGAGTCTAGTTTTCTAGTTTGGGCCTTCTAAATCTAAATCTGTGGCTGCATTTCTTTTGTTAATTGGCTGGCCTCCAGCTCACATAGATCCCCCTGCCTCAGGCTCCTGAGTGCTGGGATTACCCACATGCGCAGATGCACTTGTCAGTAAATCTGTGGCTTCTTGAGATGGGGAATGACAAGGCCCCAAACCTCTGACCAGCAGGAGGAAACCACCAGCAACTGTGCTTTGATCAAAACTTCCAGCAGCCCCGAACCAGCTTACCAGTGCCCTTGGCGTTTCCAAATACCAGCAGTTCCTACAACCGCTCTGAAGTAGGGGGTAGGCCCCGGTTTGCATACCAAGTAAAATGAAGCCAAGTGATGTTACCATTGCTTTTTCAAGGCTACTGGCTGGTTGGCAGGTTGGAGGCAGGGACTGACACCTGCCAAAGTCAGGATCCTCTAAGAATGTATGTGGGACCGGGCTGAGGGTTTCCCAGCTGGGGCAGCCCTTCAGCCGAAATCCATCTTACATTAAAATAAGATGTTTTAGGTTCCCCTTCCTCTGAGATACTCTTGGGCTCAGGGTTTTCCCCGCACCTCTAAAAGCCACCCTGTTGGATTTCCAGTTCTGTTGTACGTGCGGAGAGAGAGCGAGGAAGTGTTTGACGCCCTCATGCTGAAGACCCCAGACTTGAAGGGGCTGAGGAATGCGGTAAGAAGCCTGGGCCCCAACGGTCTCATCCCACAGGAAGGTCTTGGAAGAAACAGCTGGAACCTGGTCTTTCTGGTGGCCTGCCTGTCCCGCCCACTGGGGGGCCACAGGCCCTGCTGGAGGGGGTGTTGCCCGTGATGTTATCTCCCAGCCAGAACCCTGGCTCCACCCAGGGAGTCGCACACACCATAAATCCTCCTTAATCTGATGGCTGCTGTCTGACAGGCCAGGGCTTTTGTTGGCTTTGCAAACCTGTTTCTATTTTAATGGGAGTGAAACCCAAAAAGGCCAGGCCCAGAGACACTCTTTTTTTTCTCTCCCGGGGGGCCCCATTCCTCCTCTTGCGGTCAGTGGCAGGGGTGCAGGCTGGGTCGCTGAAGGTGGCGTCTGGGCAGAGACCTTCCCCGGCCCCCGGCGCCAGAGGGCTGGAGCAGCCAGGCCGTGACAGACCCACAGCCGGCTGGCGCTCGGCTGGCGCTCAGCTGGCGCTATGGCTGAACCCTCAGAAAAGGCGGATGGTCTCGGGTCTGCCACGGAGCAGGTACCTCAGCTGCCTTCACCGAAGGCCCACTGTGCGCCCGGTGTTTGGTCGAGCCTGCTGCACTTGCTGATAAGCCTGAAAAGCCGCTGTTCCTTTCTCTTGTCAGTGAGGATACAGCCCTGAGAGGTCAGGGGACTAGGCTGAGAGCAACAGACCATGATTCCAGCCCATGTTCTCCCTACTCTGTGCTGCCCTATTCTCTTTCCATATGGTCATCCCACTTGGCATCAGCCCCAGGAAGCTGGGCTCACAAAAGGCCATTAATGTCACTTGAAGACAGACTCAGCATCCTGGGGTTGGGCAGTAACTGAAAGGGTGAGGCTCCCATCTGGAGCTTGCATTCTCTTCCCACGGCTCTTCTGAGTTGTGTCTGCTGTTGAGTTGTATATGAGAACTCACTACCTTCTGGGACAGCCCATGCTGTCTTTGTATAATTTATTCACCTTATGTTTAGAAAGGTCCTAAATTCTTCCCTTGATTGATTTGAGATCTTCTCCCTGGTAAGGTCCAGCTGCATCACCACTAAAATAGATAGTGTTAAGAACTCTCCTGTCAGACAGCTCTTGGAGATCAGCAAGCCAGCATCACCTAGGGTCCCTGCCTGAAGGAGAAATGTGTGTCACCCCTCACAGCAGGACCAGAAGCAGCCATTACTCAGCTTCCATAATAATGACAGGGGCCCCCGCGGGAGGGTCCTGAGTGTCGGGGCTGTCCTAGGTGACATGTGGGATCGATCTGGGGGCTGTCCTAGGTGACATGTGGGATCGATCTGTGCACTTAATGCCTCCCACGGATCTTTGGGTAGGTGGGTACTTGCTCTCTCCACAAGGAGTTCGCAAAAGGTCGCCAGCTGGTGGATGATGGCCCCAAGCACTGGACAATCCAAGCCTCTGACACCAGGCAGGAGTTACAGGAAGGGATAGATGCTCATGAGGAGATTTTATAGCCACTAAAAATGCTGCTTGCCAAGTGTTTGCTATGATACAGGAAGGTTTATCATATGGTGATGCTTTAAAAGTGATGTAAGACTACTACGTGGAGTACAAAATATCTGTATACATGGCCAACAGATGGGAAGGCGTACACCCAGATGTTAATGGCCTTTATCACAGGGAAATGGGAGTGTGGGTGACTGCAGTTTTCTTCTTTATATCTCTCTACTGATAGTTATTAACTTCATATATATAACCACACACACACTCACACCTACAGACACACACACACACACACACACACACACACAACTTTTGTAATCAGGATGTGCTCCAGTTTGTCAACAGACACTGAATGCCCTGCTGTTCTCTTCCAGATCTCTGAGAAGTATGGGCTCCCTGAAGAGAACATCTGCAAAGTCTACAAGAAGTGTAAGCGTGGGTAAGTGCCCCGTTCAGCCCTCACACATGCTGGAGGCTCGGTGCTGAGCAAGGATGTCCTTGGCCTTCCTCAAGGGGTTGAGAGAATGTAGAGTTGGGGTGCATCAGTCAGGCCACGGTCACCAGTCACCTTCCACCTGCTGAGACCAACAGTGATCACCATTGGGAAAGATAAGCACGGGACAGAGGCAGAAGGATCTCTGTATGTGACCTCATGGGTGGAGAGAGGAGTACAGGGTCATATATCAGAAGACCTTGTCAGGTCCCAAGGCCATTGGAAAACCAAGTCATTTGATTATAATGATGGTTACAGCAAATGCTGTAATTTACTTGACTACCTACTGTGTGTCAGGTGCTAGGCTCACTCATCTCGTCACCCACTGTTTACAGGTAGGGAAATAGGCTCAGAGGTGCTAAGCGGTGATTGCGGGCAGGAGCAGGGAAACAAAGGCACAGAAGCAAGAAGGGCCACGGGTTGCTGAGAAATCAGGGCAGGAAGGAGCAAGAGCTGTGATTGGGAGTTGTGTGAAGGGCGTCCAGCCAGGGCTGCCCCGTGGATCTCCCCACCTCCAGGCTGGACTAGGCAGCGAGATTAAGGCTCTGCCCTCCAGGGGCCCATGCAGTGCCTGGCCATCCACATGGGGTCCTGGCGACCCCAGCACCTGCTCCTTGGCTGGGAGAGGCGGGTGTCACAAGGTGACCAGGCTTCAGTCCCCTGGTCAGAGCCAGGATCAGTATCTGGGCCTCTGTAGCCTCCCTGACGAGGTCACCTTACCAGCCCAGCATGGGACCCAGGCAGTGAGGATTCGTCACTGCCACTTCCAACCTAGAGGACCCAGGACCGGGACCTGGGAAATACCCCAGCCCCACCCCCAGCTGAGACCTGAGAGCTGCCCGAGACAGTCTCACTCCAGCTGCACCGACCAGCAGCCTGGGAAGGGGCTTAGGCACCACACTGCTCTCCTGTAGCATCCTTAGAAGGCTTTGCAAAGTAAGGTGAGGCCGCATCTTATTCGGCCGAGAGCCCGGGCTCCCCTTTCCCCTGTGGCTCCCACCCGGCCTCCTACTGAAGCTTGGGGACAGGGAAGGAGTCTGTCCCTGCAGCTCTGGGAGAAGACTCATTTTGTTTGGGTTGTATGAGTGGCGCCCACTCGCATGCACGCACGTGTGTGTCTCCAAGTTTCAGTCAAACTGAGGCTCTCCCTGCCTCTGTCGCTGAATCCCCCTCACTGCGCTGCCCTGCCCAGACTCGTCCAGCCCTACCTCTCCTTCAGTACCACGCTCGCATCCCCTGGCTCCTGCCTCCCAGATCCCACCCCGGACTTGGCTGAGGGTCCAGGAGGGGCCTTATGTATGATGGGGGAGCCGAGGGTACCCACAAAGATGCCTATGTGCCCCCTCCGGCACAGGGAAGTACTTCCTACATGCCAGGCGCTGGACTAAACAGCGCCTCAAACAGCTCACTGACCCTTTGAGCCTGGTAGGATTATCTGTGTCTACAGATGAGGAAACTGAGCTCGAGGGATCACAGGTTGTGAGTTAGTAATGGCAGAAGGAATCCCGCCAGCCTAAAGCCTATGCACACACACGCTGTTTTTCCCTGCCTCCCGCTTATTCCTCTAATCACTTAAATGGTAAATAAATAAATAGCAAATAAATAAAGGCTAGGGACAGGCAGCGCCATAGTCTAGGGTGGTGATGGCGAACCTTTTAGAACGTCCAATGATACAAACAGCCCGCGGCCACACTCGTGCCTTAGGATCCTCACCCCTAGCCTTTAGCAGCCCTGCAGAGTCACTGCATATCCCCACAGCCTGCAGTTCTGGAAAACCCCAGCCCCAGCATGGTCCAAAATGTCTGAATGAAAATATTCTCCAAAAACCTTTTGGGAGAGGGGAGGCTAGGCAAGTCTGCTGCTTGGTCAGGGCCCTCGTCTAAGAACAGGAAATTTTAATCGGAGGCCTAGTTTATTTTTCCCAAAGCCTTCCTGCAAGTCCTCTGGACAAAGGCAGATACCATCAGCTTTACAAGCACCACTGAGTGCTTGAAAGATTAACAAAAACATTGTTTCTCCTGGCAGCTGGCCAGAGGTTTAATGCCGCCCAGGGCAGAAGACAGCTTGGAGCAAGGAAGTGAAAAGAGGCCTTACATTCGGTGACAGCAGTTCCTGACAGGCATCTGTGTGCAAGGCCCGGCTGTCATGGGCCTCTGAGGGCAGGTCCCTTTCCCAAAGGCAGGCGATCTCCGCCTTGGGAAGCCCGGCTGAGAGCAGGAGGGACCAGGCTCCAGGTCACTGCATGCAGGGCAACTACCCAGTGCCTGGCACCTGGAACAGGCCAATAAATGCCACCAGAGGAAACAAACAAAAGCACCTTGACACTGACAAGTGCCCACCCCTCCGTCCAACCCTGGCCTCCTGTGGCCTGTTCCCAGCCTCCAGCCCCCAGACAAAGATCCCTCTGTGAAGTCCAGGAACTCCTCACAGGCCCCAGGAAAGGGGATCCTACAGTTAACACTGGCAGTCGGTGCCTGCGCCTCTGGGGGCCCAAGCTGGACCTTGTTTCTGAAAGGAACAGAGACAGCTGGACCTAGACTGTGGGCTTCAGGCTCATGGCTGTCCCCAGAGCTCTCTCTTGTTGGATCCTTATGCAAGCAGACATCTATCTGTGGCCCGCTTAAAGTCATCTCACCCTTATCCTGTATTCTGCCTTTCTTTTATTTCCTACTCCCCAACTTGTATTTACAGGGCAATAGCTGCTCCAACTCCTCCTCTCCCTTCTTCTTCCTCCTCCTGTTTAAAAAAAAAATGATACAGTGGAAAGAGACAAAAGTGTATATTCAACTCTGTCCTGCTGTCGATCTTACTTCTTTGAACCTGTTTTCTTAACTGTGAACGGCAATAACGTAGTTGTACAGATTCCTTCCCCCAGTCTGTGTGAGAGCTACCGCCCTGGAGGGCAAGATCTAGGCCTGTGACCTGGTTTTGGAGCAAGACTGCAGATTTTTAAAAAAGCCTCCACAAATGCTAGGGATGGATGATGGGTGGGCAGAGGGAGGACGGGTAGATAGTGAGTAGGTGAATGGACGGGTAAGTGGGAGAGCGGATGGGTAGACGGATGGATCTACCCGACTCCATGAGTTGGGGCAAAGGACAGCTGAGGTGATCATCTTAGGTCACCTCTTGGCAGGTCCTCGGTCAGGGTGGCAGCTCCCGGAGGAGTGCCCTTTGGCTTTGACCCTACAGGGGGCCCAGCTCTGAAGGTTCTTTCTCTCTCTGGTCAGCCAGGTCCTTACCTAGAGAGTGTGGGGAGAAGAGGCCAAGCCCCTCAGTCCTTTGGGGCGGAACTGAGAGGGGTGGGCATGGCACCCTCTGGCCCAGGCCTGCACCCCTGGGTGTCACATCATAGACTCCTGTTGAACCCAAGCTGCCACGCCTCCCAGACTCCAACTCACACTGTGCCCGAGTCAACAACTGGTGACACAGGGAACACTGTGCCACCCTCAGGGCCGCAGTGTTGGCATCGTCCTGGTCACGCCGAGCGCCAGGAAACAGAGGCCCTTCCCCATTCCAAGCACAACTCTTCCCTTCCAGAATCTTGGTCAACATGGACAACAATATCATCCAGCATTACAGCAACCACGTGGCCTTCCTGCTGGACATGGGGGAGCTGGATGGCAAGATCCAGATCATCCTGAAGGAGCTGTAAGGCCTGCGCTCCACACCTCAGAGCCCGGGGGAGGCTCAGGTCTGGAGCCGGGCCGGGAAGCAGCCTCGCCACACACAGCCTGTCCACATGCCTCGGCGCTGTTACTTGAACGCTTCCTCCCCGGGAGTTACAGATGTCGGGGCCAGGAATCCCCCTGGAAGTCTCCTGGTCTGAGTCCCATCTGTGCTAGCACCCAATCCCGGGGCTTCCGGCCAGCCCCGCCATCGCCTCCTGCCGGGCTACTCCTCACATGCCCTGCAGGCCGCCCCGTGAGGTGAAGCCACCCTCTGTGCTCCACAGCCACCAGCTTGACCTGCTCAGGCCTACATTCTGGATTCCTTCACCCTTCAGACCAAGGATTTCTCACCCTTTGGTCAGCGAACTTTTGATTCTCAGTGCAAAGGACTTTATAAAAAAGACCCTGTAGGGGAAACAATATCTTGTTCATTGACTTCTTCAATGCAAGATGTAAATAACAGAGCTGACTGGAACAAAGTGACCTCCCTATAGTACTACCACCTTGCCACTCGCCGTTGTACACATTTCTTATTTACAATTTTATGTTATATATATATATATAAGTATATATTGTATATATATATGTATGCAACATTTTATATTTTTCATGGATACATTTTTATCATTTCAAAAAGTGTATTTCACACTTTTGGACTATTTTTTTTAGCTGTTAATCAGTTATACATTTTGTATACTCATAGTATTTAGTAATAAAATCTTACCTATGTATCAGTCACATGTTGCATTGCTCCTTTTGGGTTTCTGGCAGGAGAGTGGAGGCTGGGGTGGAGGAGACCTCCTTTTCTCCTCTCTGCCTGTTGTGAAGGATGGGGGCACCCGTGAGCTCTCCCAAGCCGAGGAGCCCACTCTGACAGCAGCTGAGTCAGGATGGGGTCCCACAAGCCCACCTTACTACCTTAGGATCGCTGACTCTGACACACAGGCCTGGAGAGGCCCAGAATGGCCATGACCTCACCAGCTAGGGTTAAGGACCTCACAGCCGGGGCTGGGCAGGGGCACAGAACCCAGGTCTGGAAGCCATGAGAGAGGAGTCTTGGGCCAACTCAGCTCCTACTCCCCAAGGCTGTCTCTTTCTGTGGTGGCGCCTAGAAGCTACTTTGCATCTCTTCCCCACTGTGTGGTCGGTGGCTTCATGTTTGGACATTAAAATCAGCCAGGGTAGAAGTGTTTAGGCCATGGATATTGAAAAGTACTATAAATCAAGCCCTTTATTTGCCCCAGAGAACAACTCACAAATTAGTGCTGGTTTTCTTCATTCCTTTCTTACTTCCCACTGCTACATCCTATCTTGTTTCTTTGGCTGTAAAATGCAGGGTATGTTCTACATTGATTGCAGCTATCATCACTAGTGCCTCGGTTTCCCTGCTGGGCCTCAAAGGCCACAATGTGAGGGAGGGAACAGCACCCCTGAATACCTCCCTGGCTTCAATCCCAACAGCTTTACTTTGTAAATATTAGGGTTTCTTATAAATATTTGTCTTGCCGGGCTTGGTGGCGCACGCCTGTAATCCCAGCACTCAGACGGCTGAGGCAGGAGGATCTCTGTGAGTTCAAGACCAGCCTGGGCTACATAGTGAGTTCCAGGTCAGTCTGAACTACATAATGAGACCTGTCTCCAAAAAAACAAAAATAAAAAAATAAAAAATCTAAAAATAAATAAATATTTGTCTGAATAAAACTTTTTAAAAGACGTTTAAAAACTAAGATTCCTATAAAAACCTCCCAGCTTCTAGACAGTCCATAGTCCGTAGGCCCTGCATAGATACAGTGAGACACTACCATCAGGCCCCAAGATTAAGGAGCACCAAAGAGCTCACTGGTGAAGTCAAATAACAGTTCAATTTAATCTTTTTTAAATTAAGGCAAAACCTGGATGATGTGGTGATTCGCACCTATAATCACGTCACTCTGGGAGGCTGAGGCAGAAGGATGGCAAGTTCAAACCCAGTCCGGGCAGTTTAGTGACTTAGCAAGACCCTTGTGTCAAAATGAAAAATAAAAAAGGGCTGGGATGTAGCACAGTGTGAAGGCCCTGGGTTCAATCTCCAGTACATTGAAAAATAATAAATAAATAATAAAATAAATAAGGTGAAAAATCCATGATGAATAAAGTCTCAAAATTTTACAGAGGGGATCAGCATTACTCCTACTTCCTTTTTCCTCAGGCTCTGAAATGCCCACCTGGCCCTGTTGGTAAACCCTGTGGAGCTCAGCCAGGCCCAAGCCTCGCGCTGTTGCTGTGACATCACCCAAGTGCCACAGTGAGGTGATGTGTGAAGGTCAAATGATAGGGACGCAGAGCAGCAGGGCAGCACCCGGTACTGGAGTTAACGCTCACTTCCTGCTGTGCTTTCTGCCCAGCTTCCTTCCTGGAGCCAGGAGCCAAGGAGGGAACTGGAAGCTGGTGTTTCTCAACAAGAATTGCACATCAGAATCTTTCTCCCTGCTGCCCAGGCCCCACCCCAGAGTGAGGTAATCAGCATTTCCAAGCGGGGACCCAGACAGGCATCAGTACTTTGTGAAAATCCCTGCGCAATCAAGACTGAGGGCTGCTGCTCCAGAGTTTATAGTCACACAGGCCTCGAACCTTTGCAACTTCCTAGCGTCTGCCCGGAATATCACACTTAAGGCATCATCTGCATCTTCACCCAGCCTGCTGCAGGCTCTGGGAGGGAGCTGGCGGTGCCCCGCACTCCTGCATCGGTGCAGCCTCTAGCAAAGCCACCGAGACAGAGACAAGGGCAGTGGAGCCGAGAAAGGCCAGCGGGCCCCCGAGGAGACTCTCACAAGCCTTGAGAAAGTTCTGTTTGCCCTTGTGAGAAGTCACGGAGGAAAGGCAGCTCCTGAGCCCCGCAGCTGCCCTCCCAAGATTGTATTTTGCTGTAAAGGACAAGAAGGTGAAAGGTGTAGAAAGAAGGCGACCACCTTAGAAAGGCAGCTGGTGGCTGGCGGGGACAGCATCCCCTGCCTTCCGGTGACCGTCACCCAGTGGATCAGGGCCCATGAGAGAGCAGAAAGGATGCATGAGGAAGGTAGGAGGGAGAAAGTGGGTAAGGAAATGAGAGGAAGGAAGGGGAAGAGGGAGGAAAGGAACGAAAGAGGAGAGGAGGAGGGAGAGGGGAGAGGAGGAAAAAATAAGCAATAGATGAACAAATGGATGCCCAGATGAAGAGCTAAAAAATTTTATGGTTTTTATTTACTTATAATTTCTATGTGTGTGGTACTGGAATGGAACCCCAGGGCCTTCACACCCAGCTACATCCCAGCCCTTTTTTATTTTTTGTTTTGAGACAAGTGCTCCGTAAGTTGCCCAAACTGGGCTTGAACTCATGATTCTCCTGCCTCAGCCTCTCAGAGTGCTAGGATTATAGGATGTGCCACTACGCTCAGCTAATTAAGCACCCATTCAACTCTTGCTACTCTATGCATGGCCACCGGACTAAACGGCATCAGGACCACCTGGAGCTTCTGAGAAATGCAAAATCTCAGGCCCCACTTCCAGGCTAACTACTGCATTTCAAGATCTCCAAGTAATCGGCAAATTCAAGAACTACTTTATTAAACTACCTGGGTACCTGAAGCCTAGCTGGATACATTACAATCACACAAGAACTTTTTTTTAATTGAGTTTATTGGTACATTTTAGGGATACAGTACAGTTACATTCATTACTGGGATCTTGTACCTTTACAGGACAGGTCTTGGTTCTCATTTTTCCCCTTGTCCCTGCCCTCCCTTCACCCCTCCTCCCCCTCCCCCTTTACAAACACTTTATTTCCATTTTTTCATTTTCTCACATTTTTTTTTCTTTTCCCTTATTACCTTTCCCCATACCCTTCCCACTTTCCCTACACCTTTAGCCCTTTTCTTCCTATTTCACATTGGCAATTATCTCATTAGGATCTTATGTACTATTATAGTTTTTCACACCAGAGAAACTATTCGGTATTTACACATGTGTGACTTATTTATTTCACTTAGGAGTATCCTCAATATGTATCCATTTTCCTATGGATGACTCTAATTTCTCATTCTTTATGGCTGAGTAGTATTCCATTTTATAGAAAAACCACATCTTCTTTATCCAGTTTCCAACTGATGGGCAAATGGGCTGTTTCCAAAGTTTTAGCTATTACAGACTGTGCCGCTATAAACATAGGTGTGCATATGTCACTGTGGTATGATTCTTTTAATTCTTTTGGAAAGATACCCAGCAGAGGGATGGCTGGGTCAAGTGGAACCTCTAGTCCCAGCTCTTTGAGGTATCTCAATATTGATTTCCATAGTGGATGCACGAGTCTGTACTCCCACCAACAATGGAGAAGGGTTCCTTTCTCCCCACAGCCCCGCCAACATTTGTTATTGTGTGATTTCTTGATAGCAGCCATTCTTCGTGGGGTGAGGTAGAATCTCAGTCACACAAGAACTTTAATAAAGATAATTAAATCAGAACTTTGCGGTCAATTAAATCAGATCTTTGAGGCCCGGGCGTGCTCCTGAGTTGAGCCTAATAGCTGGGGCTCGGGGACCTCTGCGCTGGATGGGGCTGTGAGTAGCCAGTGACAGCTTCAGAGAGGCTGAGGGCCACAAAATGGACTCTCTGAGCTCAGGGTCCCAGCCTGGCCAGGTGGGCTGTGGAACATGGATTCTGATTGGCTGAGAGCTGCTTGCTCTTCGCTCCCCAGCCCTCTCTCCTGACTCACTTAGAGGAGGTGAAGCCCTCTGAGTGGCCAGGAGGTTTCATGTAAAGATTTTCCCATCCTACTGGCAGTGGCAGATCCAGAAGCCATTGGTTGGGGTTGCTCCGAATACTGTGGGACAGCAGCACCCACAGCCCCCGGAGCCCCAGCGCCCACCACAGCCCCAGAAGCATTGGACCTGGAGCCCCTGCGCTCCTGCCAGCGCTTGCCTTCCAGGAGGAGCTGCAGGCCTGTGCAGATAGATGCATGAGGCTGCCCTACCCTTCAGTCCAGAGCTGCCGCTCTTGGCAAGGCCCTCCAGGCTGCCGTTCATTCCAAGGCCACGAGGCCTCTGCTCAAATGTAAGTTGACAAAAAGGCCAGCTTTTGTGAGAACCAAGAATTCAGTTTAATGGAATAGACCATCCACCCTTTTCCCGCCCTCAACCCTCCCCAAAGGGAAAGCCCGTCAGCAGGCAATTCTGACAGGAAGGCCCAGCAGTGCCCCTCATGGTCATAGCCAAGGGAAGCGTGGGGAAGTGAAAGCCTGGCGGGGGAATGCGGTGTGGGGTGTGGGGAGCGTGCACAAAGACCCCGCTTACAACAGTGCGGGACAACATCAGTATTCGGGAAAGGAGAGGATGTTCTCTGTTCTTTCGTCTTCCCCTTGCAGAGGGGAAAAGATCTGGCAAGTCAGAAGGGATCCATTAAAAGCTGCCAAACTTGGTCAACCAGTCTCCCTCAGACATTGGCGCAGGTGGTCAGCGCGGGGGTAGATGGAGCAGGCACAGGCAGGCAGGGTGGGGTGACAGCCTGTGGGCACAGGGCACAGGGTGGCCTTCCTGCCCCTTGGAAAGCTGTTTCCAGGGCCCGGGATCCATAGGATGCTGTCACATCTATTGGAGGAGAGCCTATAAACTTCACGCAGCCTCCACAGCGGTGAGTAATGAGTAAAGGCGACCAGCTTCCACGTTCTTCTGGAAAGTGCCATTGAAGGTTCAGGGGGCCTGGCAACACCTTCGAGCATCTGCCAAGGTGCCACTGGCCCTTCCTGGCTCTTAGAAATCAGGAAGAGTCTGGAAGCCAAGGGCAGTTGATTGGGTCTGCTCCTCGGCCCTCGCAGACCCCAGAGATCTGGCTGGGCCCCAGGCCCATGGGCAGGGAATCTGCCACCAGCTACCTTCATGGAGGACGGACTCTCCTCTGCGGAGCCCACACTTCAGGAGTCCCCGGAGTCTGTGGAAGAATCACGCCAGAGCCACCTGCACGGATGCATGGGGAAGTGACCAGGGCCTCAGGACACTCCTTGTTGCTCAGGAAAAGGCTGGAGTTGGTGCTGAGTTAGTCTCCCAAAGGCAGCTCGCGAGAAGGCCGCCTCAGCAGCCAGGCCACAGCGCTGGGCAGGATCACCTTGTCAGCAGCCACAAACAAAACACGCGAATGTCCTGGGGAGCTGGGATTGGGGACCTGCGGGTCAAGGTTCTCCCTGAACTCTTGTGGTGTCACTACATCACCGGGACCCATATGTTGTCCTCATTGTAGTGGAAAGACTGCTTCCCTGGGCGCTCGGGCTTGTATGTGGCTAAGGAGAGAGAGAGACGGTTTTAGGAGAGAAAGACCAGAAGTGAGAGTCTCTAGCTTTCTACCTCAGAACTGGAAAGGACAGGGGAGCCCTGGGGGAGGGGGAATTCAGCCTCTTTTACATGGGTCTTCACTGGCCTCAGCCAAACTGACACTATGGGTTTCAGCATTCTTTAACCCTTTTTAACTTCTTTAATGAACAAAATTTGCAAAACATTTTTGCACAAGAAATCAAAAACTACACTGAATAAAGAAATATGCTTGAAGAAGCAAGGATTATCATGGTAGACTTTGTTTTGATCTGGTCAGGAAATTTCCAGAAAGGTAAAAGCCATGACAGCTGCAAGACAGGAGCAGCCAAGACAAGCAGGGCTTGGGGACCACAGCCTGAGGTGATGGGAAACTCTTCTCTATTGAGTGACTTGGCTAGTGAGGGTCCCCTGCACGCCTTCTTGGGGAGACTCTGAGGGGAGCCCATGGCTGTCCAGTCTGTCTGCATTCCCTGGAAGCCGTGAGGGATGTCACCTTGGAGGAGGTGAACACAGCAGCGGGAAGCCACGTGTACCTGTGTGCCAGGCACCTCACACTCAGATGCAGTTCCTAAAGCAGTGGTGGCACACCTGTGGCACACGTGCCACCGTGGGCACACAGAGCCCCCTCTGTCAGCTTGCAAGCCAAGTCATCCCAACAGCCCAGCATTAGATGTTCAGGCTTAATTGTTGACACTCTGTCATAAGTAAGTGGCTTTTGGGCTTCAGTTTGGGCTTTTGGTCTCTAAAGTGCTCGCCAACACTCTCCTAGAGGATGGGGCCAAACAGGGTCAGACACGGGTCCTCACCTGTCCTGGGGCCTCTGGAGGTCATTACTTATATGGAGATGAACACACTTGCTGGGCCAAATCATGTTCTCCTGGATCAACCAGATGACCCCAGGGTCAAACCAGAGCTGTCCTGTTGGTCTGATTATCGTTGCATTTGCAAAGCCAAAGTTACCAAAGCTAGGATGACTTTCTTCCTGCCCCACCTCCCTGACATCTTTATCACCCCTGAGTGTCTCCCTTACCAGACTGATGCCTCTGGGGATGAGCTCCAGCCCTGTCACTTTAGCCCCCCAGGCTGGGAGCATCCTTGGTGCTCTATGAGAAGTGGGCATCCCAGCTCTGCCTTCCTCTCCCATTCACCTGCCGCACCTGTCAAACCCCAGTGCCACCAGCTCTAGCCATTGTCAGGGACTGGTAATAGCTAAGGGGAGCGGCAGAGAGCTACAAACAAACAGACAAGTTCAGAGGCCACCTATGGGAGTGAGCTCCATGCAACGTCAGCCCTCAGGGAGATCCGAGAGGCAACGAGGGTCACTGCTTAAGCTCATCTGTAGGAAGCGGGTGGAGCTACACAGCTTTACAGAGCAGCCACATCGTTTTCTTTCATCACAAACAAGGCGTCGGGTGGAGGGGAGGTGCCTAGGCCTCTGTTGTGCTGCTAAGGCGCTTGGAGCTGTGGACACCCACCTAAGAAACCCTCCTCTCTGTGAAACATGTTGGCCAGACCAGGACCAGTGGCTCAAATATTTTTAAGAACAAGAATTTTGCTGATGACCTGATAAGAGCTGTGGCCCTATAGTAGGGCATCTGCACGCTCCAAATCTGTAGTCCAGAGTCACCGGCCACCCACAGCCCATCTGTGACCTCATGGACCTTCCTGGTCCTCAGTATGAATCCCTGACCCTGATCATCTCTAAGAAACCTTTCACCTTAAAAAACAAAATATTTTTATACTCTGAAAATATGAGCTGATAACTCTCCTAAATCTGCTCTCACCCCTATAAACTGTTTGGCAAACAGCCTATAAACCAGTGGTGTTTGATGGCACAGGAATGGCAAACAAGCCCGGGTTAGGTTTTACGATCATTTAAAACAGTCCTCTGACCTGGGCCAGGGAGGCCTGGCTGGGAAGGCGCCATTATCCACCGGCTGGTGTTGGACACAAAGGATGCGCTAGAGATGAAATGCTTGGCGGGCCCAGCGTAGTCCACAATCTCATACTGACCAGGACCTGGAAGAGGTGGCTTCGGGGGCAGAGGCAAGGAGGGCTGGGCTGAGAAGTTCAGGACGGGGTTTTTCCTTTGGGAAAGACAAAATGGGAAGATGTCACTAAAGCAGTGTACTGGGGAAATGCCACCTTTAAATGCAGCCAAGGCCTGCTCAGCATCAGGAGGTCTGCAGGAGGTCCAGGCATAGCTTCAGGAGACCTGAGCTGTGCTCTAGCTAATCTGCTTGGAAGCCCAGGGTCTTTGGCTTCAGTTTCCTCATCAGCACAGTCGCGATCATAGCAGTCAGAACCTACACTGTAGACTCATGGTCAGGGTTGCATGAGATGATGCACCTGAAATATGGTACTCAGGACAGAGCTGACACACAGTGAGAACTCAGGATGTGATATCAACAGCGTTGTCGCTGGGCCAATCAAGAGGGGAAGGCAGCACTGATCTCGTGTGCTGACTCCGATGGATCAGTAGGGCCTGGCTAGAGCTCTGTGAGATGAGGCCTCACTGGTCTTGGTGACCCACTTGTGATGTCCGCCATGGCCAATTCATGTGAAGAACCATCCCACACTCCAGGTCAGGTCCTTTCTGTGAGCCTTCATCAGGCCTTGATGCACAGTTCCACCGGGCTTCCAGGGCCTGCCCATTTTCAGAGAGTCAGCAGTCCAGCCACTCTGCTCACCACACAGGGCAAGGGCCGCCTCCTTCTGCCTTATCTCCAAAACTCCTCCCAAGGTCTCTCATCAAAGGGGGACAGAAGTTTCTCCGAGCACAGGACAGCTGGGAAGGCTCACGTCACCCTGAAGCAAAGGAGGGAAGGGGATTCCTGCCCCCTGGGACCCTGCTGCCCTTGGCTTACTATCTTCTGGAACCAAGACAGCCAGGGGGACCTAGAGATCTCTAGTCAACCTCCTTATTTTGTTAACTAAGCTGGTGTCCAGCAAGAAAAAGTGAGGCATTCGGATCACAGAGAAAGTTGGCGAGACACTAGAATGCACATCTCAGGGGCCCAGCAATTTGGAGAAAGTGTCATGACAAAGGGGACTGAGTTTGAGTCACACAGACCCGAGTCTGAATTCTGGTCATGCCACTGCCTGGCTGTGAGACCTGGGACAAGGCCCCTAAATTCTTGTACCCTGCGTCTGTAACAAAGAACAAGAATGCCCACTCCTCATCGAGGTGAAACGATAATGGAGAAAAAGCATGTGAGGCACCTCCCGTGGTGCCAGCACACAGAAAATGCCAATAGAAGTAGCAGCTGTTATTACAAACAGTCGTTTTTATGATCGCTTTGCCACAGGGGTGCAACCAAGCTTCAGGGGAGAGAGTTTGAGTCTCCTCACACCAGACTCGCCCAGAGGCACGGGACCCTCCTCCCACCGGAAGCTGCCCTAAGTCTGCCTGAGGTTTAGGCCTTGTGATGGAGGAACAGCCGGCTCGGAGGCCTACATTTCAGAACGAAGGTGCCCACAGGAAATGGGACCCATTGCTTCACTTCTCCCCATCCCCCACTCTCCACGGAAGAACAGGTTACAGGGTGTAATCAGCAACCTCTCCCCTTATAAATAAGGGCTGGTTTCTCTCTCTTGTGGGTGTGGCTCACCCTTCAAAGCACCCCCACAGAGTTGATGAGCCTCATGGAGAGACCAGCTTAAATGCTGGAAATCAGTGCTCGATTGAGCCAATCAGTGTATGCCGACCCCTCTTGGTCTGGGTCACCTCTCATTCTCTGTGAAGACCATGAGGCAGCCACTTTGCTAACCAGGAAGTGGCTACAGCCTGCTGGCCCTGTGTCCCACCAACCTAATGAGCAGTCAAATCGAAAGTTATCTTTCGTCTGCTCAACCCAGCCTACTGGCCAGTGCCCCCACTTCTCCTTCCTGAGTACCTGGCACGACATTGCTCTGCCACTCTGAGAATTCTGCCAGGAACCCTCGCCTTCCCTGCAAACTCTGATTCATTCTTCCCATTCCCACGCTTCAGGAGCCTCCTCCTGCCTCCTCCCTGAGATGGCTTTGGAAGGCTCCCTGTCTGAGGCTCATGGGCTTTGGAGGCAGACGGTCCTGACGCCGGCCCCAGCTCAGGCACTGCACTTCAGTGTGGACCTCAGTCCCACTGCTCTCCAGAGGAGAGGCGGTGATGGCACGAGGAGACCCTTCCTCTGCCAAGTCCTCAGCTCGAGGCGTCTGCCTCTCCAGACATTTGGGGATTCTTTCGTCTGTTTGTAACACCTGGATTTCCATGCTGCGTACTTGCCTCGCGTTTTAAGGAACGAGATTGTGTCTGACTCAACATAGAGGCACCCATGCCTGCTCTGAGGACATTTGCTGAACTGCAGAGAAAAGCAGAGAGGTTGGAGCAAGTAAGGGTCCTGGATCCCACCTTACTTGTTTCCCTCATCCAAGGTGGCCCCTCGCATCGACTTTGCCTTGGGGTGGGGTGGAAAATCACTAAGGAAGGTCGAGCAGATCACACCCAGGCAGCCCCTTGCTCCTGGAGAGCGGGCTTTTATGAGCCTCATCACTTAGCTCTGACAGCCACCCTGGCCCTGCCCTGTGGAAAGAAAACTCCCATCAAAGGTCCTGAGTTGGCCACTACCTGATTAACTGTGTTGGCAGCTTCCAAGGTGAGCTGTTTGCAAATGGCCCCAAATAATGAATGTCCTCAAGGACTCAGCAGGTCACTTGGGGAAGGCATCCGAGGGAGACCCTCTCGATCCACTCCCAGGCACAGGCTCATTCTGCCTCGGGGATTCCCAGGGTTGGGAGGGAGAAAGGGGCCATTTTTCTCAACATTAAAAGGCAGCCGATTGCCTCTGGGTGGAATGCAGTATCTGTTTAACAGGGGGAGTGGGTGACAGATTACAGCTGCTTGGGAAGAAGCATCCCATAGCTAATTGAAAATCCCGGCAACTTTAGGTGGGTCCGATGTAATTACCTGACTTGGAGCAGGGCCAAGGGGCTTGGTTCCCCAGCTCTGGCTTGACAAGACCATGTCTGTGCAAAACTAATGGCTTAAGAGCTCCAGGAAGTTGACCAAAGGGTTAGAAACCTGTCTCTGAGGCTTCCATCTCCTCTCTGGGAGCGGGGGTTGGAAGGTGGCAGAGGAAAGAACTATTGTGATCTGCAAAGCCTTTATCTGACTCAGGCTACCTCCTGAGTCACCACCGTGACGGGTATGAAGACCTCACGGAGTGAAACCTTGGCTGACTCCTACTTGGCTTCCCAAGACGCCCTGTGAGCTGATAGAGCCTCCCAGCTTTGAGTCAGTATGGTGGCCAGAGGACGTGATCACCTGTCGTGTTCTCCAACACTGACACACCATGAGCCTGGTCCGGTGACGCCCCACGGGGCCACCAAGGACCTGCTCTCAGGCTCGGGTAGAACCATGGGAGTTCAATGGGCCATGTCCTTCCACCCTGGCAACTACAGTACCCCTGGTACAAGGTGTTAGATGAATCTGAATTCCTGGGAGCTGAGAGACCTTTCCCCCTCCCAGGTTCTCAGGCCAGCCCATGGGGAAAGCAGGAGGTGTCACATGTCCTGAGCAGCCTGTTCATCCTGCACAGCCACCCTCGCCCATTCCCAGCCCTGCTGGCCACCTCCTGAGCACGTGAGTCAGTTGACCCTTCCTCTCGCTTCTCTGTGTCAGCAGCACGGCACTAATGATGCCCAGGGTGGGGGTCCAACCACCCCAGGTCTCCTCATCCTGAAGAAAGCAGAGCTCGCAGACTCTTCCGCAAGCTGTCACCCTCACCAGGGACAGAGAGCAAGCGACTCCCAGCCGGGACAAGTGAGGCAGTTCTTGTGTGTGTGTGTGTGTGTGTGTGTGTGTGTGTGTGTGTGTGTGAAGCCTGGTGGCTCAGGCTGCCAAGGTTTCCAAGGGATGAACACGATGATGAACCTGAGATTCCTCAGCACAGCTCCCGGGACCCTGGAGGTCACAGGTGATCAGGTCTGATGTGGACAGAGGCTGGAAAAAAGTGACAGGGCCATGCAGAGGAAGCAACACAGACATTCCTGGGGACCCAGCAGCCCTAGATCATGGCCAAGGAGACTTCTGTCCCTCTCTGCCCTCAGGGCCACAGGAGGAATGAGGACTAGAATTTGACAGACTGGAGCTGGGACATCCCTTCGATGCCCCACTAGCTGGCAGCATCCAGTCTTCCGTTCTCCCACGTCCTGCATCACTCAGCATGAGAATTTCTGAGAACAGTCCAAAGCCCATCTGTTTATCTTCTTGCTTTTTAAATAAAACAACAGGCTTCCCAGGGTCACCCTTTCTGGATGCTCCCTACTGCTCCCATGGGGATGCAAGTGGCCACGCAGGCACGGGCCCTGGCAGCCAGCTTTCTCTGTGAGCTGCCCTGCTCCAGGTGAGCCTGGCTGAAAGTGCGGGGTCCCATTCCCCTGAGCACACCCACAGCCTCCGGTACCGAACCAGAGCCCCAAGGGCCTGCTGATGAAAATACCGTAAAATGAGAATGATTTTAAACTGCTCCTCCAAACTTGAGCAAAAGCTGAAAGACTCTTCCCTGGTAAAAAGGTTAAAATTGAACGTAAAGCCCTGAGTTCCATCTCAGCACACACACAATCAACAACAAAGTGTTCTCCGGTCTTATTTCACCATTTTCCTTAGGGAAGCTCCCAGATTTGGACTGAGGGCTTGAGCTGTCCCTCCAAAAAGCAGCTGCATCCCATGTCCTACGCCGTCTATGGGATGCACGGGGACAGCTACAGCAAGAGTAGCAGCCAGCTGTCCGAGGCTGGGACGCTTCCCCCAGTGTGAACAGCACATGACACCCACGTGTGCTGAGACAGCACTGGGCACCCTGTAAATGCGCACAGCTTGCGTGTGTCGGGTGGAGAAAAGAGCACCTCTGTTTTCCAGCTCCTCCCCATTGAATCCTTACAGGAGCCTGTGCAGGTGAGATTCTCATCCCCGCTGTGCCTGAGGCCCTGAGAGGCGAATTCTCGGGAGGAGGCAGAGCTGGATTCACAGTCGGGGCTGTGACCCACTACACCCGGCCTCTCAGCCACTCTTTTGCTGGTGGAGGAGAGAAAAGGCTGTGCTTGTGACCCAAGCCAGCCTGGGGGCAGGAAGTCCCTGATGTTTGGAGGGAGCTGTCCCGACACTGGCCCTTTGCCAGCATCTAGACCCAAAGGGCAAAAAGGACGTCCCCACAGGCCTCCATCAGAGGTCAGACTTCCTCCTCCAGGCCCTGTGTCACCTGGGGGGCTTGAGCACCTGACTTCCAGCTCCCTATGCCCATGGCCCCAGATACCTGCCTGCCACTCTGGAGGGGCCCAGGTGGCGCTATTCTCAGTCCCAGCCTCGCCCTCCCCAGCGAAATGGTCAGGCTGCCTGAAGGGCTCCACAGGACAAGGGCTGGACAGTGATGGGACTGACCTCAAAAGCAATCAGCTCTAGAAGCTCCATAACCATCTGAGGGCTAAATAATTGTGTATTTTTAAGCATCTAAGCTGAAAGTAACATTGAACATGTTGGATATTAAAATGGAAACATAGTATCAGACTCCAAATTTTAAATTTGTGTCACTGTTAATTAAGCCACCATTTGCATCCACTTTACATCTAACATGTACAGTATTGAAAACTCTGAAACCAACCCTATGAAGCATGAATTACTCTCATTTTACAGACAAGATGGAGGCTCAGAGAGGTTACTATGCTGCCCCAGGTCACACAGCATAAACAGAGCAGAGGGGAAATTCAAATTCTGAAAGTCTGACCAATTATAGAATTTGGACTTTAAATCTCCATCAATATAAGCTACACTGCTTCTATGTGTGCCCCCATGACAGCAGAATAATGTCAGAGCTCAGAAAGCACAGTACCATGGGGCTGTGGGGACTTCAGATGACTCTGAACCAGACTGTCTGCAGCCCTCAAATTAGTTGTAGGCCAATCCCAGCCTCCCTGAAGCCCACCCTCTTCTGTGAAGAAAGAGTAATTGTTTTTACAATAGGCCTCATAACTGAACGAGCTTTTAAATTCCTGGAACATAGAAACTGATCAATTAATTTTATGCATTCAATAAATATTTACTGAGCCCCTACTATGTGTCAGTGAGGGCTTGTGGCCCAGCACAGACCCCCAGACCCCTCTGCCCATTCTAGGATTCTCTCCCAGAACCACCCTGCAGAAAAGAATGAGGACTGGGAGATGAAGAAGAATCAGGACTCACGGGATAACGGACTTTTTTGAAACTTTGATGTGATCATTTGGGTTGTAATAACCGGGCCCTGGTCCTGTTGATGTCAGTTTCAATCCGCGGCCAGTTTTTGATTTAAAACAAGACATTAATATCTTTGGCGACTGCTTCACAAGGGATTCGTTGACATCAGAATGCCCTAAACAGGAAAAAAAAAAAAAAAAAGACAGAATAAAGAACGCTTCTCAAGAAAATAAAAAGCAGAACCATACCCTAAGCATCCAGGGGATAGTTATAAGGCAACCAAGGTCAGTTCAGGACGATCGAATAGCACAGCGGCCCAGGCTGCTCAGAGCTATGCCCCCTGCTCAGAGAGCACAGGACACGTGTCACACGCTGAGCCACCTGCTCATCATCATGGCCTGGCCAGATGAGCACAACCCCTCACTCTCACCAGGGACAAATCTCTCAGCCTCGCTGAAGCCCAACCCCTTCCTCTACAGAGCAAGAATAATAGTGGCTCCAAGTCATAGGGGTCTTAGGGTTGTAGAGTAACATTTGATCGGTTACCTTGTAAACATTACACAAGCAGCAAGTACTGGCTGGGCACCCTGTACGGAGAAGAAAGTCCTGGTCCCAGTGCCCAGGCTGAAGCTAAAAAACCTGGGGAAGAAGCTCGTCAATTTATGCACAAAGCTTCAGGTGGGGAAAAGCCCTGAGCCAGGGTGAAGGAAGGGCCTGACCCCTAAACTGTTAGTAGTCCTGAAAATGGGTGCAGGTATTTGAGATAAAAGCAGCAATACCAGGCAAGGGCCTGCGAGATGCCTGCACGCTGGGACCCCAGCTTCCTTGGAAACTTGGATTGTTCAACAGAATGAAAAGGTTGGATACTAGGGTGCACAGAACAACAGTAGCTGAGGACCTGGAAACAGCCTGAAACTCCCAGTCCAGGGGCAGAGTTAGTGCCAGGGCCAATCTGATGGGATGTCAGCCCTGACCGTCAGAAAAAGGCCACAGGCCACGTGGACATGTTTTGAAAATATGCATGAGCGGGGGAAAAAAAAGCCTAGAAGCATTTCAAATTTTCAGAACAGTGTGAATTCCATCTTGATTGTTTTAAATAGAATTCTCCTTTCCATTGCAAAAGTTCTAAAAAACAATAATAGGATCCATATCAGCAACATTTTATTGAAATGATCACCTCCTGTGATGATGGCAAAAGTGAGGGAAAACAGGTGCCTTGAGACAGGGAGAATAAATTACCCTTGCACTGAAGGGCAATTTGATCACAAGCATAAAAATTCCTGTATATCTTACATACCTTTTGCCTTAGCCATTCCACACTGAGCAATTTATACAAGGAAAGAGGTTTTATTGTTTGTTTGTTTAGCTTAGTTTTCTTTACATTTTTTTTTTTTGCTTGCTTTTAGGACTGGGGATCAAATTGGACACTTTGCATTGAGCGTCATCACCAGTCCTTTTTTATTTTATTTTGGGACAGAGTCTCACCAAGTTGCCCCTGTTGGCTTCAAACTTATGATCCACCTGCCTCAGCCTCCCAAGTAGCTGGGATTACAGGTGTGCACCACCCAGCTTGGGAACTAGGTTTCACCTTTGCCTGTAAAATGGGGATAAAGATTCAATCCCCGGTACCAAAAAAATAAATAAATAAAAATAAAATAAAATAAAATGGGGATAAAGAAACAATTTCTTCCTGAGCATGTGTTCCGGGGAGTTTTGAAGCATTCAGCCTGGCACATGGTGCGGGCTGGGACGCTGCCTCCTCCTGCTCTGGATTACAGAGTTGGGGATGACACCACACCCTCCCAGAAGGAGCTGTGCCTGGCTATTGGGTGCACACAGCCTAGGGCTCACCAGCAGGGACTCCGGCCAATGCCTAGCGCTGCCGGCTTTGTTCCTCTGTGCAAACACACGAGGTAGGGCTTTGCCCTCAGATGACGCAAGGCGGGAGCTTTCCTGGGCTGAGCCTCCTAATTAGCACCGGGTTTGTTCTGGAGCTTCAGACTGATCTTCTCAACTTTAATCTGGATTTGCTGAAATCTGACAGGCTCTGCAATTTTCTCCACACCCCCCTGTGCAAGAGTGTGACTGCAGAAGCCAAGCCTCCCTACCCTCCTCCAGGGTCTGGGGCCCGAGGCTTCCGGCAGAGGAGGTGGGGGTCCCACAGGCTGATACAGTAGTACAGAGGGGGTGGCACAAGCACAGAAGCTGGGTCCAGAGGTTCCAGGGGCCCCATGACAAGACAGGCCAGCGGGTTCCTGGGTCACACAGCTCTGGGCTTGGGTCTGCCGTTTACGGCTGGGTGGCACTAGACAAGTCATTTCAACCCTCTGAGCCTCAGCTCCACACCTGGAGATCAGGGCTAAGCACAGAGAGCTGTGAGGACAGACATGTGAGCGCTGCATGGAAACACCACGCAGAGCAGGTCAGGAAACAAAACTGTTACACCCACCGCCTTTGGATGAGGTGAAAAAAATCCCAAGGCACAGTTGCAAGTCAGTGGCAAAGGAGCGGGCTGAACTTTCACTCTGTCTCCTTCCCTGGTCGGGGGCTGCTATGGCACCTGAAGCAGGTGAATGTGCAGGCTTTTGAGGAGCTGCTCAGCCTGGACACAAGGAGGGGCAGGAAGGGCTGCTGGGGACATTTCCAGGGCCAGCCACGCACCCGCTGGCAGAGCCAGTCTCTCACCCCTCTCCTCCTCCTCCTCCCTAAGGCCTAACTTCATCCACACAGACACCCTACAAAGAAATAGGTGCCTGCCTCTCAGAACTGGTGACCCGAGTGTGAGGGGCAGTGAAAGGAGCTGCTCACCTGGAGCCGGTCCTGAGTCAGCGGCAGCGAACAATCCCCTCTGGGTTTTGGACATAAACCCAGCTCGGGCGGACACATTATTTTGCTGCTGGCTCTGTTACACCCACCGCCTTTGGATGAGGTGACAAAATCCCAAGGCACAGTTGCAAGTCAGTGGCAAAGGAGCGGGCTGAACTTTCACTCTGTCTCCTTCCCTGGTCGGGGGCTGCTATGGCACCTGAAGCAGGTGAATGTGCAGGCTTTTGAGGAGCTGCTCAGCCTGGACACAAGGAGGGGCAGGAAGGGCTGCTGGGGACATTTCCAGGGCCAGCCACGCACCCGCTGGCAGAGCCAGTCTCTCACCCCTCTCCTCCTCCTCCTCCCTAAGGCCTAACTTCATCCACACAGACACCCTACAAAGAAATAGGTGCCTGCCTCTCAGAACTGGTGACCCGAGTGTGAGGGGCAGTGAAAGGAGCTGCTCACCTGGAGCCGGTCCTGAGTCAGCGGCAGCGAACAATCCCCTCTGGGTTTTGGACATAAACCCAGCTCGGGCGGACACATTATTTTGCTGCTGGCAGCAAGAGATGGAAGCCTGGGGGAGGAAAAACACCTGGTATGCTCAGTCCTGTCTGTCTGTCTGTCTGTCTCTCTCTCTCTCTCTCTCTCTCTCTCTCTCTCCTCTCTCTCTGCCTGGGCAGGTGGAAAATCTGAGTTTTAAAAACAAGTCAAATTTAAACCTGTCCTTAATAAGTGAACAGACAGGAGCTGGGAAGTCAAGCTCACTGTGCCTTCACAACTGTCCCAGCTCAAAAGAGCTGTGATCCCCAGCCAGTCTGGTTACCCGATGTGGTGCCGACGACAGTCCCTGGGTGACCCTGCTCAGGCTGTTTAACCTCCCTGAACCTGGGTTTTCTCATCTGTAAAATGGGCCTGATAATTCTCTGCTGTATTGGCTACAGAGAGTGGTGGGGTGTGGGAGGGGATTCGAGGGTCATCGGAAATTATCTATAGGAATGTGTGTTTTTCTAAGGGGGTAATGCTATACACATAAATTACTTCTCATCATGTTTTTACTGATTTTATTCTTTTCAGAATACTTAGTGCTACCTGTCCCCACCCTGATCCCTAGTTGCATTCCTCACTGTTCAAACAGTCTCTCTATAAACAGAGCAATTGGGGCACACACGAGAACCCTACCATCTGAGAGTGTAAGCAGTCCCTTGGCTCAATTTTTCTGGACTAACCAGAAATTAAGAATTTTGCCTCTCTACATAATGCGCATTTGAGGGTGCCCCATATGTCCTGAACTCTAAAACTAATAGGAAAAAACAAACTCCTAAGATCATTCTTTTGTTACACATGAGTCACAAATATTTTTAATGCCAATTTGCAGCCAGTCTCCTATGTTCATAGATAACAGAGGTGATAAAAACCGTGCCTGCCATCGCTCCCTGGGAATATTTACTGAACGAGTGAAACTGTTTACTGGGCAGGATGGTTTAATTTTTCTGCGATACTCCTTTGTCAAAAAAATGTTTCTTGACAAACGCAGATGGCATTTTGATTTGGTGTTGACAAAAGTGGAGGAATTTTGCTTTCCCCAGGGTCCTAACTGCATGCAGAGAGGGCAAACACAAAGGCCAGATGGGCAGGCTAATTACTGGCCACGGGAGAGGAGCCAGGTCACCAGAGAGAAGGTAATAACATGGTACCAAGGAAAAGGACTGGAAAGGAGAAGTGGGGTGGGGGGTAGCGGTGGCCCAGGCGAAGTGAGGCCCAAAAGACCTCAAAGCACAGCATGGCTAACAAGATTATCGGATTTCTACTCCCGCCAGCTGACTCCCCCATTGTTCTCCTGGGAGGGGAAAAAAAAGCCTCCTGCAGACAAAACAGCACTGCAGCTTTATTTCTCACCCAGACAGAAAAGCCACCAAAAAGGGGGGCATTTTGTATACACTGTGACATGGGAAGAATCTCACCTTTAGACTAGAAAAGTATTCAACAGGGTAGAAGGGAATGGAGCGGGAGCGGAGCTGTGGGCCTGCCATGGAGAGAAGCCCAAGATCCCGATTCTGTGTGAGGGGCCAGGGAGGAGGTCTGAGAGAAATCACACCTGGCCGTCGGCGAGGGGTCACCTTGGAGCCAGTCTTACAGGGGTCCTCCACTGGCAGTCTGTGGGTTTCCATAGCGCTTGGACATGTTTTATGATGAGCACGTGTTAGACTCAGAGTCGCGTTAAAATAATAATGAACCATAACAGGTAAATAATAGGAAGGAGGGAGGGAGATCTTTTCCAAATGGGAAGGGAGGAAAGGGGATGAGAAGGGATTAAAATGTGCTAAGTACACGTACCAACTCCACACAGGTAGTGCAATCATTACGTGACACAACCATGTATTAATACAATGTAAAAACTGGGAAAAGATAAATCTAGAGGGCAAAACATAATTGCAGTGAACAAACCCGTGCACCTACTGTTTGCTGATCTGTGGGCAGGAGGACACAAGTCTGACTTGGGAAGATTAACATTTGGATGGAGACAGGGTCTGTCCCTTGAGGTCACAGACGTCTGTCATGTGTTTGCTGCCCTGCCCTCTCACAATGAAGGCTGGGCACCTCTGTGGTGCTTCCATGGACTACAGCCTGCTGTCAGCCTCACAGTCTCCAGCCTCGCTCTCCAGCACCCATGCAGTCATTCCCCATAGCAGCTACCTCAGATCACGCCACCCCACACTCCCACCCTCATGGGCTCCCAGGACAGAGAACAAAGTGCAAACCCCCCCCCTCATGGGCTCCCAGGACAGAGAACAAAGTGCAAACCCCCCCCCCCCGGGGTCTTTGGGATGTGCTGACCGGGTCACTGCCTGTCTGCCTGACCTCCCCTTGACTGCTAGCTCACAATGAATAGCCATCCCACCTTCTTGGAGGTCTCCTGGGCAGCTCTTTGCTGTCCCAGGACCTTTGCACAAGTCTGGTGTTGCTTTTAATTCTTGGTCTTAGCCCCTGAGCCTTCTCTGACCGCCAAGTCCAAAGGGTGCTACCGCCAACTCTGTACCTCCTGCCTATTCTCCTACAGGTTTCTCGCTCAAAGCTGACCACAGTTTGTAATTGTTGTGTCTGTCTGACCAGTTCTGACTAAGTTCCCCATTGAATACAACTGTACCACCAGGTTGGCACAGAGTAGAAACAGAACTCATGAAGGGAAGCCAGGCAGGACTGGAACAGCAAGACTCAGTTATTCACCAGCTCTCCATCTGTGCCCACTGATGCCAAAGGCATCGTTTGATGCCTTTGAACTGGGTGACCTAGGGCAAGTCCCTTCACCTCTCTGAGCCTCAGCTTCCCTCTTCTGTAAATTGAGAATAAGATCATCTATGTCATGGATTCTCCTGAGTATTCAATGTAATGAATCAATAACTCTTATCACTTAGACTATGAAGAGTACACCACCGCCATCACTGCATTCACCCTGTTACCCTAAGGGAAGAGTTTCTGGAGTTGTACCCGCAGTGCAGCATGTCTATGAGTCTTTGTGGCTACTGAACCTGGAAATATGGTTATCAAAATACACACTGGGCTTTATAGAGTCAGGGCAAGAAAAGAATCTTCCTCAAATATCTAATTAATAACTTATACGTTACTATATGTTGAAATAATACTTTGGGTCTTCTGGGTTAAGTAAAATACACTGTGAAAATGTATTTTACCTGCTCCTTTTACTGCTTCAATATGGCTACCAGAAGATTTTAAACAACACAGCTGGATCCCGTTCCATTTGGCTCAGACTCAGATTGGCTGGAGCACATGAGAACGGATGGGATCAATCATGGGAGACGGGCGAGATCCCTGTAGCTAGAAAAATAAATATGGTTTACAAATATTGCAAAAGAGGAGATTGAAAAATGAAGTAATGAAAGGCCCAAATACTTTTAAATACACACAGTAGCGTCACTATTTTCTGTTCAACTCCTATTACCCACATTTCAGAGTGCTCTCCCACTTGTCTCACTGGCTTCATATAAGGACCCCATAGGGCAGGGATCATTAATTCTGCTTTACCCTCGTGGCGCCGGGGGTGGGCGACCTGCCCAAAGCCTGCCCCAGCCTTCTGTATATGCTGTGTAGTAGTCCTTGTGTGCATCTGCCCGGGCCGGGATTATGCCATTTCATACCCGCGTTCACACTATGAGGTAAACAGATATCCCGCTTTTACAGCCCAATAAACTAAGTCCTGAAAAGGCTAAGGGACTTGCCCAAGGCCATGCAGTTAGATTGCAGGTTGAGATTTAACCCGAACCTACCTGTAGCATAATTGGCAGAGCGTAGTCGTTTAAAAAAAAAAATCTTTTGACATGGAAAGGTAGAAGTTGATTTGCCCAATAAAACCCTAAAAATTCGATGAATAGTGAATGGGTGGATAAAGTACAAAATAATGCACCATCGTTACAAATGAGAAAACTGTGTCCCTGAAAGGTTATGTGACTGGAATGATTAGGATAAAGGTATTTTTCAGGGCAGACATCATCCAACTGCTGCCCACTGGCCTCCATGCTGCCCACACCGCTCTCTGGGATCAGCAAAGTCCCTGTTGGATTCTTGCATGGAGTTAGTACCCATTGGTTAGACAACAAATGCTACCTGTCTGACAAATAGAATTCAAGTACTATTTTCCTAAGCTCCCCTCCTTTTCATTTCAGCAAGCCATTTGTCCAGTTCACATTTAGCAGGTCTATGCGGTGCTCTTACGTTATAATGGTTTGGGGCAGGAGTTTCAGATTTGAGTGCTTTCACACAGATTGGCAACTGGAACATGCTGGAACAAGAATTGCTGAAGTCTTTCTTTGAAGCAAAATCAGATGGGATAGTGTACGCATTAGCTGCAGGATATTTAGAAATAATGGTGTCCAATCGGGCACTCTGTGGGGAGAGAAAAAGATAGAGAAATCAGCATTGTCATGGAAACTTACAGCTCTCAAGGTCAGGTGTCAAAAAGATGGTGCCCAGGACCAGGTCTAAAAGCATTTTCTAAAAGGGGATACTGTGGCCGGTGACAATAATAAACTGACCTCAGGCATGGAGCATTTGCTCTTGGAAAATGCGAGTTCAGGCCTGTTTGGCTACTATAAACCAACTCAAATTATTCATCTTCTGTTTGGGACTTGGCAAAAATAATTTTGCCATAAACGCATTTCCACCCAGTCCTATCCCGGGCCAAGCACACTTGATTCATCAGCTGTTGGGTAATTCATGCAGTGGGAGGTTTTAGACTCTCTTCTCCCGACTGAGACTTTCCTCCTGCGTGAAATTTCACATCTTGTCCCTAAGATTAAGTGTCCCAAATGGCCTAAACACCGATGCTTCCCACATCTGAGTCAGAAGGTCGAACAAGACTCCCCGAGCACTTGTGCCTCCTACCCTCACCCAGCGAATTACTGTGTTCATGAAACCCTGTGATCTTTCTGCTATTTCAACAGAACCAATATCCTACCTTTCAGGAAGCCACAACAAAATATTTTCAGTTAACAAACAAACAGAATCAGTGTTTGCCAAACAAACAGGGACAAAAGCCATAGAAACTCTGCGATAACATCACTTTACCCTTGGAGAGGATGGCAAGTACTGGAGTCTGATAAAACAAAACACTTCCCATAATTTGATGGCTGAAAGCTTGAGAACATTATCCGGGCTTCCTGGGCTTGATGGGGTCAATGACTATATGAGTGCAGGATGTGAGGGAAGCCGAGGGGCGGCCTGAGCTCCGGGCCCCACTTTGCCCTGTGCTGGTGGTGATGATTCTCAGGTCTGGTTCACGGACCACAGTGGTCTGCCGGTGGGTGAACTTCCAGACACTGAAGTCTTCTCATTCAGAGCTTAACCCGGTTTTGTGTCCCACTCTGCCTCCTTCTAACCATAGCGATCTGTTGATGTTCTCAGAAGTAAGGACTCCCCCAGCTTTGTGAATACATTTGCCTGTGCATTTTGGCCAATCGTTTATCGTGTACTTTTTGTTTCCTTTCATCTGCACGACAGCTCTGAGTGGTGGGTACTATACTGTGATCACTCCCACCTTACAGACGAGGAAAACAAAATTCTGCTACTTAAATGGTAAGACCAACATTCACAGTCAGGCGGTCTGTTTCCCTACAGAATGGTCAGATACCTGATTCCAAAGAGGAATGGGTTGACAGCATGGCCCCAGGGTCATGGCAAATTTAGTGGATCATGGAATCTTTTTTGGCTTTAAAAAAATCTGTTACTTTTACATTTTGGAAAAAAGTTCTAAAATATTCCCAATAAGGGCAAGTTTTGTAAGGTATCATAAAAGGATTCATCTCAGAGGTTAGCTAAATTAACACTCACTCACCAATACTCCACACCCCTGGGTTAGCTGTCCAAACTGTGGCCTCCAATCTGGCCACATGCTGGTGTTTATGAACCTCTCTCCGACACATACTAACTTCTCCATGCCACTCTTGCCACATGCATACAGAGAAAGGCTGCCAAAGTCTCCACCCACCTGCCCCATTTAACTTCCTAGTCAGTACTGTGTACAATTCTGAAGCACAGATTTGGAGTGTATTAATGAGGCACTTTATATCATTTGAACTTAGAGAGGTGACAGGTCTTCTCAAAAGGTGGGGTGGAGTGTTCCAACAGGCATCAGGAAGTTTCTAAAATTTATAGACCCACAGAGTTGTTTGGTCAGCCTCACCCATCACCTCACTCCTCCGGGCCATGGTGATCTTTCTCTGATGAGGTCTAATTCCCTCAGAGTCTTGGGATCTGGAAGTACAAAGGTACCACATGTGGAAAGGGAGTGGTAAGACATTCTCTTCCGGATTATATAGAAGCTAGGGAAGATGTAGGGATTCTCCTGACAGACCCCATCACCACACAAGGCCCCTCCCCAAGAATACAGAAACTTAAGTGTTTAGGAACACAAACTCCCATGGCCATCAAAGGGAGGCCAACGCAATGTCTGCCTTCTTCTGGGTCTGGTTCTGAATTTTTCAAAGCCCTGAAAGGCCTGATTAGATGCTATGATACTCAGATCTTCTCTCAGGCTTCAGACAGACCGGATTTCTCACTTGAAAAGTAAACTGCAGGTGAACTCCAGTAGGGCACGGATCATGGGTTCCAATGCAGTCTCTTTCTTGGCACTGACAAGGAGGAGGCAGTGCCACTGTTTGGCAAAGAAGTTCTCGGAGAGAAGTCTTGGGCGTTGCAGGAAGTCTTATTTGTGACTCAGGTGGTACCAATCATAATATTTAGCATGTGTATAATGCTTTGCAGTTTCAAAGAGTGTTTTTGCTCACTGCAATCGCCCAGCGCCTCCAGGGAGTCTCCGCTTTTATGAGGCAACTGGGACACAGAAGGGTGACGTGCTTGAGGTCACATCAAGACTCCCGCAGCTGAGTCAGGATTAGATCCTAAGGCTTGTTCTCTGTGCCAGGACGTCGTGAGACGGCACCCCTTTTGCTGATTGCTTTTGAGTCTTTTCTAGCAGGGTGGGGGGTGAGGGAGCAGAAAAATAGAGGCCGGGCTGTTCTGTGAACTCCTGGGGGCATGTGCAGCCTCGGCTTCTTTGGTAATGGGGAGTTCACTCCAAAGTTGATTTTTCCTGGAGTATTCAGCTCTGCCACATTTGACATCCAATAAGAACCAGTTGTATTCAGTGTGTCTTAAAGGGTCCCTTTGCGTAGTTTAAAGAAAAAAAAAAGATGTATCAATCCCAACGTCAGGCATCAATACATCTGTGCAAGAGATCATTAGAACCTTTCAAGAGACAGGGAGACACATGTGTTTTGACAATGTTAGAATCTGGCTTTGCTTTCTTTTTCACTCTTCTGCTCCAGCTAGCCCTGCCCTTGTTAGACTCATCCGCCTTGCGTCATCTATTTTTCTTGCCAATTTACAAATATTTTTAAGAAAAGGACTATCAAGCTGAGGCATAACTCACACATGCTGCCATCCCCAGCACGGCAAAAACAACAAAATAGAAGAAGACTGTCTTCTCCTGGATCTGGCCAGGGTCACTGGTACAACCTCAAATAGCTATTTCATTGTTAGAGCCCTCAGTAAAGGCAAAGTCTCACGCTGCATGAGAAAGAGAAATAAGGGTCACGAATCAATAAGTTTCAGCTCCACTCCGTGTTTTCTTTTAGGTCCCATCAGATTTCTCAATAATTTGAACAACTCAATTAAATCAATCAAGAGTAAAATTCCTATTCTCGCAAGAAGTACCCGAGTAACGTTTCCCTAGCGTGCCTAAAATTCTCAGGAAGATGCTTGCTTAATCTAATCGATGATGACAAAATCGGTTTGGATAATTGAGTCCTGCATATCCCTGTAGCTTCTCCGCCCACCCTGGCAATGAATGACAGTGGAACTTGTGGGCATGAGATCGGAGATGGTGATTACTCTCCTAATCAGAACACAGGCCCTGGAGAGAAAGGACTACCACTCGATGTATGATTATACACCGATTGGAGGAAATTACTGACCAGTTGCTCTCCCAGAAAGGCTCTCACCGTAGAAGGAAAAGTGCAGGTCCCTTTCCTGGACAAGGAGACACTGCAGAACACTGGAGACCGGTGGACAATGTTATAGGACCCGGGGCCTGGCACATCATTCTGAAAGGGAAGAGCATGTGGGGTCATGAGGATACGTGAATTCCACTGTGCTTTTCCACCAGCTCTGCACTCATTAACACTAAGCCTCCCCATAATCCTCCAAGACAGGCACCACTGCCACTTGGTGGATGAGAGCCCAGCTCCACCACTCCCAGCCAACCCAATCTCTGCCTCAGTTACCGAGGGATGGGGCAGGAATTCCAGCCCAGGTTGGGCCTCCTTCCGCCATGCTTTTTCCACTATGCCAGGCTGCATGGCATAAGAAAGCTGCTCTTTTTTCGTGTCATTAGAGAAATGAGGATAAAAACGGACACCAAACGTGACTGATGGGCAAGTCAGCGTGCGGGGATTGGGTAAGCAGAGCCCATGGTGAGGGAAGGGTGGCCGATTTCACATTAACCACACCCCGCCTGACTCAGCTTCCTCCAGCCTTTGAGAAGAGAAATCAGGGAGTGTTTCTGTTTATAAAGCAAAAATGAAACAAAAACAATCTTGGTTCCAAACGAGACCATTTCTGACTCACAGACAAAAAAAGGCAAGCTCGGGGTGAGGGTGGGGGGCTCTGGTGCGGACTGGGGCAAGTACATTGGGAAGGAGGCCGCAGTGCTGAGCTCAGCTGTGTCGGCCGCTGCAGCTCCTTTCCTGCGTGAGTTGCCAGGAGGATGTCCGTGTTGTGACTCACAGACAAAAAAAGGCAAGCTCGGGGTGAGGGTGGGGGGCTCTGGTGCGGACTGGGGCAAGTACATTGGGAAGGAGGCCGCAGTGCTGAGCTCAGCTGTGTCGGCCGCTGCAGCTCCTTTCCTGCGTGAGTTGCCAGGAGGATGTCAGTGTTGGCAGAGGCTGGCCCCGTGAGTGGTGTAAAAGGAGAGGATGTTTTGCTATTTGAGAGTTTACAGCAGACCTACTGAGCACCAGGAGCTCTCCCAAGCTAGTCTGTTTACATCATCACTCAGTGAGGAAGGGCTCACTGTGCCCATTTCACAGATGGAGACCCCGAGGCACAGGGGGATGGTTTTGCCCGAAGTCCCACTGCTGTAAGCGGCAGTCCTGAGTTCAGTGCTAAGTGCATGGTGTGTGCTGTCTCCACTCCCTGGCAGTGCGGGCATTATCAGAGCCACTTGAAGGAAAGTGAGACCCAGAGACATGGAGCTCTCAGCCAGGAAGTGATAAACGCCAAATTTAAACCAGGCAGCATGACTCCACAGGTTCCCAGTCTCTGCCACCCAGGGACCTCCCAACTCAAGTGTCCCTATTGTTTTTTCTGGGGCAGAAAGAGCTTCCTCCCAGGACTCCGGGCTCACTAGGACAGTGTGATAAAGGATAGGGTCACGTGTGCCACAGCAGGTCCCTCGGTGCTGAATTTTAAATGCTGTGCATCCTCTGGTCCTGGCCCCATGGCAGGTGGGAGCAGGAGAGCTAGTTCCTGCTTTACAAGGGACCTGGGTGGACAGAGGGGAGCTGATAGCCAGGGACAGTGAGGGAGGCAGAGAAAAGCACAGCAGAACAAGGTACAGGAACAGCCCGGGCCTGGTGTTGTGGTTGCAGATGTGATCAGCAATAGGGAGATGAGGAAGAGATTTTTCTAGGGCCCAGTGTGCAGCACAGGCATCGACTGGCCAAGTGCTCATTGTGGGCCGGGCACTATTCTGATAACTTTGCACTACTTGCTCATTTAATTACCATTTTAAAGATGAGATGATCAGGCCAAAAGAGAGACCCCAGGTCACATCACTAGTAAATATAAGAGCCAGAATTTGAACCCAGATACTCTGACTACAGAGAGTACTCTTCACCACAGAATCAACCCCAACTCTCAGACGAGACTGTGTGGGACAAAAGGAGAGGGGAAGCCACTGAGTTCTGAAATGGGAATTCTTATCTTAGTGGTGCTACTAACTTCATGATCTTGAGAAAAATCACCTGCCTGGGCCTCAGTTTCCTCATTTGTCAAGCCAAGGTGTTGGGCCTTTGAGCTTCCAGAGTCACCGAGTCTAGGCTACAGCTGCAGCAGAACTTGCAAGTGTGACTCTGCTAGAATTTACGCCTCTAGTCCCCCAGTGGGACAACACTGGCACGACACTGCCACTGGCTCACAAGAATCATATGAATATTCATGTTCTCTGGGGAGCCGAAGCTGCCAGATAAAACTGAAGACTTGAATGGCTGTGCCATCCTCCAGCCCACCCTGTTAGTTAGAATTTCACATAAACAGCAAGTAGCTATTTTAGTATAAGTATAGTCCATGATGTGGTTGGGATATACTTTTACTAAAAGAATTATCTAGCTGAAATTCTAATTTAACTGAGCATCTTATATTTTTTATTTGCTAGATCTGACAACCCCTCTGGGCCTCGGTCATACTTTAACTCTGCCACATGGCCCAACTGGCTGGAGTCCAGGGCAAACAGCAAGAGGACTGTCACCTCTCAGCCTGGAGGGACAGAAGGCTGCCTGTGTTCCCTTAATGCATGGCCAGTGAGTGTGTGAAAACCGTCCTCCAGGCAGCAGTGTGCTGAGCCGGCCAGTGGCAGCTGGGGAAGGAAACTGTTAAAAATAAATACTGCCAGTGCCAGCTGTTCCTCAGACAAAGGGCTGTTATCTAGAATATATAAAAAAGTTTTTTAGAAGTCAGACTTCCCAAATTTAAAGACCCAATCCAAAAATGGGCATCTGAAATAAACAGACACTTCGCAGATGAAGAAGTAGAAATGGCAAATAAATAAATGAAAAGATGTTCGACATCACTGGTCATTTGAAAGACAGAAATTTTAAAAACCCTGAGATTCCATCTCACCCCAGAAAAGATGGCTGCTATCAAGAAATCAACCAATAACAAATGTTGGTAGGGTTTTAGGGTGAAAGGAACCCTTCTCCATTGTTGGTGGGAGTGCAGACTGGTGCAACCACTGTGGAAATCAATATGGAGATACCTCAAAAAACTAAAACTAGAAGTTTCATTTGACCCAGCTATTCCCCTTCTTGGTATCTTCCTGAAAAAATTAAAAACATCATACCACAGTGATATATGTATACCCATGTTTATAGCAGCACAGTTTGTAACAGCTAAATCTTTGTTTTTTGTTTGTTTGTTTGTATTGAGGAATCAACTCAGGTCCCTATGCTTGGAAGGCAGGCAGAGGCACCACTGAGCTAAATCCCTGGTCCTGTAATAGCTAAATCTTAGAAATAGCCTAAATGCCCATCAACTGATGAGTGGTTAAATGAGACGTGTTTTTCTTTAATACAATGGAGTACTACTCGGCCATAAAGAAGGATAAGCTTGTGACATATCTGGGAAATGGATGCACCTTGAGACCACACTCTAAGTGAAATAAATCAGACACACATATGTAAATATCGCATTGTTTCTCTGCATGAGAAGCCAGAAGTATAAATAAAGACTAAAATGTATAATAGATATTGTAAAATAAGAAAATGTCCGCATGGGAAGGGGAGCTGGTGGGGGAGGATAAAGGAAGGGAAATGGAAAAATGAGAAAAGAAGGAAAAAATGGAAATAAACCTTCTGTAAATGAAGAGAGGTTGAAGGGGGAGGAGGGGAATGGGAAAGAAAGAAGAAACAAGATGTATCATGTACAGGTGCACATTCCCTATGACGAACGCGCTCATTGTGTAGATCTGAAATGTACCAGTAAACTTAATTAAAAAATAAAAATCAATTTTAAAAAAGGTTGCCCGTGGTAACTTGAGATCAGCCAAGGCAGCACTGTTACGCCACAGAGACTGACAAAGGTGAACAAGTGGGCGCTGGTCTCCGTGGAAGGGAGAGCTGCTTTCCCAGCACACCGCTCCTTCTGCACAATGCCCGAGGTGGTTCTGTGGGAGGAAAGAGCTTCGGAGAAGTCACACATACTCCTGCAATAGCTACAGGCACACTCTGGATGGACGCACAAAAAATCCAGAATTTTTACCGCTCACGTTACTGATATTTTGTAACAGTGATGAGTTTGGTCTTTTCTGGGGCTATAATGCCGGGGCAAAAGAACCCAGCTGTGACTGGCATGAACTTAGCCACCCCCCTTGGCTGCGAGCACCTCAGAGGGCAAAAACCAACCAAACCAAGCAAGCGAAATGGGGTGGGAGAAGGACGCACATTTGTTAGAGCCTCGCTGTCTGCCTCTTGAGCACTCCATGGTAGCCTGGTGCTGGATGATGCACCTGCTGTCCCCACACAGACTCAGCACTAAATGCGCACTTTAATCAAGAAACGGTCCGATGCCAAAGGGTGGTGACATTACTGTCCTTTCAAAAATTTAATTTTGAGGGTACTGGAGATGGAGCCAGGAGGGTTGCTCATGTTAGACAAGTGCTCTACGACTGAGCTACACCCACAGCCTTTTTTTTTATTTTTCAGTTTGAGACAGGGTCTTGCCCAGGCAGGCCTTGACCTTGTGATCCTCCTCCTCCTCCCCTTCCTCCTCCCCCTCCCCCTCTGCCTTCCAAGTAGCTGGGTTTACAGATGTGCACCACTGTGCCTGGCTCACCATCACCCACGCTATCACCACAGCAGCCTCCACGGAACCAGGACTGTCAGGAAAACCTTCACAGTGGGCTGGGCCAGCGGTGGCCGGAATTGGGTTGCCATCCTCCCGACCAGCACACGTCAGGGTGACATTCTGTTGAAACACACTTTGAGAGGCCATGTGAAGAGGACAGTCCTGGACCGGCAGGGTCTTCATGTGCCAGGAGTGGGACACAATCCGCGTCCCCGTGAGCTTGGGGTGGGCTGGGCGTGGGGAGGAGGAGGAGGAGGAAGAGGAAGGAAGAAAGCAGGGCATTTTCCTCCTCGCCCCAGGTGTCTCCACAGGTCACGGAGGACTTGATATTCCAGAGCCTGGAGCCAGTCACATCTTCATACATACTGGATTTTCTACTCCTGATTTCGTTAATTCTTCCCAATTAGTATTTTGATGTATGTCAAATCACTGACTTGCCACATTCTCAGCCTAGATTAGAAAATTCGGTCTGCATTGAGCCGTGGGCTAAAGACCCTGGGTCTGCTTTTGACTCTTCAAAGCCGTTCCACCTTCCTTGGACTCTTGGGGGTGGGCAGCTTGTGTTCTCAAGTGAACAGGAGAAAAAAATGACAAATTTGATAATGGGCTGGAGGTATGGACAGGAGAAAGCCAGGCCCAAGGGGGAAACTCAGGAAATCCTGTAGCTACTCTACAGCAAAGCCATGTGGGAAGTCAGAGTTCCTGAGGACATGGTTGCCCTTTACAAATGCCTGGGTCACCCTGGTGACTTCATCCAAGGCTAGGAAGCTTGAGCTCATTTTGACTGTGGCCCAGGAAGTGGAGGAAACACAGAGCAGCGGGCAGGAGAGCCAGTGTCTGTGCCCAGCATGGACCTCCGGGGCCACAGTTCCCTCATCTCCTGTGACCCTGCCAAAAGCCGAGGTGGGACAAGGCCCATGTTCTTCCAACTGTGCTCCTGGCTTCCACAAGCACCCCAGGGAGAGACCGAGGAGGTGGTGGCTGTGAACAGCAGCTCCAGTTCCTGGTTCACAGGTGGGCTCCAGTGAGAGATGCTGTCCCAGAGGGTTCTGGGATCCTAGAGGCCCCTCTGGTGGGGCTGCTGGAGACCCCGAGCCTCACCAGTCAGGAGATCTGCACCTCCTCATCTGCACCTCCCTTTCCCTCCCTGGGGCCTCTCCGCCTTCTCCAGCATCAGAGTTTCTACACCTCCAGCCACAGGTGAAGAGTGAGAGACAGAAACGGGAGGTCGGGGGTGAGCAGGCAAAAGCCACCGTCTCGTTCAGAGTAGGGGAGGGTGCCCGGAGCACAAGGTCCCTGGGAGCCCTGAGGGAGCGGCCAAAAGGAGAACGAGGGGCTGCTTTCCCAGAACCCGTTTCCTAGATTCCCAGAGAGGATGTAGGGAGAAAGCCAGGCGACTGTGACAATGGCCACCCGAGCAGAAACGAGGCTAGAAATGAGCCAGACGACAGGAGCCAGAGAAGCACAGGTTCGGGCTGGTCTCGTCTCTGGGAGTGCCCCCGGGCCTCTTCTTCGGGGCTCTCCTCCTCCTCAAATCTTACTTCAGCACAGGGCGGGCACAACAGTGGGGACAAGGACACTGCTATGGCCTGTCAGCCACTGCCAAGCTCCAGGAAGCAGATGGCAAAGCCGCATCACAACTGTGAAGCTGAGGACTAACTCGGCGCAGCTCAGTGGTGGAGTCCCTGCCTACCGCGCACAAGGCCCCAGCACCTCAAGCAGAAAAAACACCCTGTGCAAAGAGGATGCGTTTCCCTGTGACTCCATGGGAAATGCAGGCTTGAATCGGGACAGTCGCTGGATTTAGCACATCAGTGGCTGCTGCCGGGGAGGGAGCTCCTGGATGGATGGCACACGAGTCGGCATTGCGGCAAGGGGGAGGCAGCTGGGACACAAGCTGGCTGGGGGTGGCAGGGAGGCTCCTGCCCAGGCCCAGCCTGACCCTAGTAAGGCAAGTTACTTAGCCATCAGAGTCGTCTGAGAAGCGGGACCTGGCACACGGGTTATTACAAGGGTTAAAGTGAGCTAACAAACGCATAGCTCTTCGAGGGGTGCCTGGCGTGTCATTAAGGTCAGCCAAGAGTTTGCTATTTCCAGGACTGTGTCCTGCAGACCTCTTAGGAAGGGGGGCCAGTGACTGACTCGGAGCGCAGCAGGAAGGCAGGGCAGATACTGCTGAGGGCACGCGCGGGCAATTATCCCTGTGAACATGGTGATCTCAGTGAACAGAACTTCCTGTCATTTAATGTTCCTGACATGTACGAGATCCCTGGTTCAGGATCTTATCGGGTCAATAAGGAACAGTACAGACTTTCCACAATTTTACCACAACATGCAGCTGGGACACACTACCTTTGAAATGGTGGTGTGTCTACCCAGCCCTGTATGGAGTCACCTTGTATTTTAAATTGTGCCCTCCTAGAGGACAGAGTGCCCATACCTTACTAGTATGTGCACATTTGGGCCTGGAAGGAATCAGGTTGAGAAGCACAGGACAGTAATTCCGGCAAAGATCTACTTAAAATAAGAAAACCAAGGGCTGGGGTTTAGCTCAGTGGTTCCGCCGCCTGCCTCGCAAGTACAAAGTCCTGAGTTTGATGCCCAGTACCAAAAGAAAAGAAAACTGAGACGGAAAGGCACTAAGCGGTGTCCCTAGAGCAGTGGTGGTGAACCTATGGCATCCGTGCCACAGCAGGCACACAGAGCCCTCTGTCAGCACGAGAGCCAAGTTGCCCCATCATCACCCCAGCAGCCAAGCATCAGATAACAGTTGTACTGTGGAGTCACTGTTGGCACTCTGTGATAAATAAGTGGTTTGGGGTTGCAGTTTGGGCACTGGGTCTCTGAAAGATTCGCCATCACTGCCCTAGAGTCACACAGCTTGGGAAACAGCGACCACCACCCAGCATATGAGGACAGAAGTGGGAGGTGGGAAGAAAATGCCCAGCAGGCCGCAGGGCTGGGCTCTGACACACAGAGGCACATCTCTTCATGAATGCAGAGTTGACAGCACATCTGAAAATAATTATAAAAAGCTCAGGAAAACATATGTCGTTTCTAGCAGCCCAAACTGCCATCTAGACATGGCGCCCTGTGAAGGATCCTTAAGCCCGGCAACCAGAGTCGCATGGGGCCCAAGAGCTGGAAGGAAAGTGCACATCTAGAGGGCCCTGACTCTCCGTGTCCCAGCTGTGCTAAGTGGGTCACTGCACTGAGGTGAGGCGAGGAGGCAACCTAGTTATGCGACTGGGCAAGGGTGTGTGCGATTCTGTTTTAAGAAGGGTGGTGAGACACTGGAGTCTTAAAATCTGTCCTTAATTTGTATTGCTTCACTAAATTATTGCGTGATGTCGTACAAGCTCCTTAACTTCTCGGTGCTCATTCCACTCAGGAAAGATGAGAATAATAAGCATGGAATAAGAATCTGTTTTTCTGTTCATGATTTGAGCAGACTTTAAGATTTACATGATCGGAATTTTATGTTTCAGATGAGGAAACCAAAAACCAGAAACAAAAAGTGGCTGGTTTCAAGGCAAGGAAGGACCCAGCTAGTCACAGAACCTGGTTTATGAAGCGCTGACCTTTGCAGAAAATTCCACTTTTTAAAAAAGTGCTTTAAGATACATCAGTTGTACATTGTCAACCAAATACAAAAACTTTTGAAAAGGTGGAATAAAAAATTCCAAGTGGATTCTCTCCATGGCCCCTGTAGTTTTTGGCTGGCTGCCACCTTGGCTCCTGTAGTAGAAAAATGTTCTGGCAAACAACAGTGTTTTAAATGCTAACTTTCAAAGTCAGCCGTTCAGTTTCGGGCTGTCGTCAGGCCTAATCACACAGAATGGAGGCTCTGCACAGGAGCACACGTCTTGCCCTCTCTTGAGCCCAGACTCTTTTGCCAAGGGCCTGTCAGAAACCTGCTGACTTTCCTACACCGAGTTTACCGCCTTATAGGCCACAAAGGCAGGTGTGGCCCAGCGTGGAAAGAGTAAGAGGCTTTGCAGTGAGCTAGGTTGGGGTTAAGGTCTAATTCTTTCAACATTGATTCAGCATATATTTATTCAGAGCCTCAAATGTGCCAAACCCCCTGTTGTATGACCTTGGGTGCATCATTTAACCTCCTTAAGCCTCAGTTTCCTCTTCCGTCAAATTACGATAATAAACCCTGTCTTTTAGCATTGTTCTGAGGAGTAGAGATACAACCTAAACAAGATTCGACAGACAGTAGGGATCAGTAAATGGTGGCCGCTAGTACCTTTGTGGGAAATTGAGTTACGGATACTCCGGGGATGGACAATATATTATCATTAAGTTGACGAATGGAAAGCCCAGCAGAACACGGGGGAGAATGACAGTTACAGAGAAATTAGGAAAAGAAAGAAAATGCCAGAGCAAGTATTTGTCATCTTTGGGGAACTCTACAAGTAATTTTAAAATATAGTATATATAATATGCTTTATTGTCTGCTTTCTTAGACTCCTAAGATATCAGCGGTGGAACTCAGAACACTGTCTAGCTCCGCCCTGCAGGACGAGTCAGGCCACAGCGGAGGGGCTGCCCAAGGCTCGCACTCCCAGCCTCCCCTGCGTTCAGAACTTGCTCTGGCACAGGGGAAGGCGGGCAGTGACAGGATGTTTAGAGTGCAGGGAAAGCTAAGTGGGGTGATCACTCCTCCAAAAGAATGCTATTCCTAAGATCCGGGTTAAATGAATGAGGGAATGAAAAATGTAGACGCTAAGGACACTCGTAAATTGCTTCCGCCCCCTGCTGGTGAGAGAAGCAAAGGAAAGACGAACTTTCCAGATCCGAGGTGGAAAGGCAGATCTGGGAAAGAGGATGCGGACAGAGGGAAGACAGGAACAGTATTAAGACCTTGTTCAAGGAAGTTTTTTTTTTAAATGGGGAGCAGGTCTCATAAAGATAATTCTCAATAGACTCTTCTCTCGTGTTACTGAAGAAAATCACGTAATTTCATCTCATAAAGATTGCAGAAGGATTTTTACCTTTTACTTTATACGCCTGAGGTCTAGGGGACTTTATATTTTATGATTCTAATACTTTCTTTAAGTGTTTTTGGGTCCATACTCCTGGACGTGGTTGTGTCGTCCCCTTCCGTCTGTCCCTTATAATATTTCCCAAGTTCATTTTACAGTCCTGGTAATGTGTCTTGCCCAAGTGAGCTGGGCTCCTTGGGCGACACTGCCCCCTACCGTTCACAGAAGGACAATAACCTGTCCTGGGAGGCTAAAATTCAGAGAATTAGGAAGACAATGTCATTACCTTTTTATGATAAAATCTTTTGGCTTGACTATTAAATCCTTTTTTTTCTGATTCTGTAATTCTTGTTGCTTGGTGTTTAAAAGGAATGGAGGGTTGTGTTGGATATGCAGCAGTAAAACCTAAACAAAAATAAAATAAAAATCAGTACAAAATAATGAATTGACAAATGCACAAAACCCCACCCGTGTATGTTAATATATTAAACTTTTGTTTTAAATGGAGCAGAAGAGAAACTTCTCTTTTGACAAGAGATAAACATGAAACCTTATTTTCAAAAAAGCACACCCAGTTTTTTTTAAAAAATCAATACTGGGGATTGAACCCAAGGCCCTCACACGCAGCCCTCCCCCACCCCCTTTGGTTCTGGGGATCAAACTTGGGACCTTGCGCTTGCAAGGCAGGTGGCAGCATCACTGAACTAAATCTCTGGCCTTTCCCATTTTCTGTTTGGAGATGGTCTCACTAAGTCACTAGGTTATCCAGGCTGGGCTTGAACTTTCCGCCCTTCTGCCTTAGGTTCCAGATCGCTGGAATTACAAACCTGTGCCAACAGGCCAGCTCTCACTTTTCTTTCACTTTTGTAATTTACTGGGGTTTTCCCCTCTCCAGATTCACATCCCGTGAGATGTGGCTTTGTAAGTGCATTGAAGGGCACCGACCCAGAGCAAAGAAAGGATACATGGCAGGGAGGTCAGAAGACCTCTCAGGGAGGAAGAGAAAGGCAGGGCTGGCATCCCCACTCCGGGCCCAGAGTCAGACACCAGCCAAGCACCACACAGATCCAGAGAGGCCAGGGCGTCCTGGAGTGAGGCTGGCTCTCACTATCCACAGAGTCACACAAGAAAAGCTAAGTTTCTGCCTTGAGCCGACTTGGGGTTAAAAAGCAGAAGAAGATACGGCTTGGGTTTTCAACCACTGGACTGCAATGAGGATGTACATGCTGTATAACTCCCCCCACTCCTCAAGATGAAACCTGTGTCCCAGAGCAAAGCACTAGAATGTGTAAAGGACTACAGAAGGAGCACCCAACAGCTAAAATTCAAAATATCTGTCATCCACAAAAAAAAATTAACAGGGCTACGGAGAAGGAAAGGTATAATTCAACATAATTAGAAAACAATCAAACTGAGAACTTGTACAGATGATAGCATTAATAGATATAAACATTGATTATAACCACTATATTGGCCATATTCCACATAGAAGTTGGAAGAAAAAGGCCAGGGATTTAGCTCAGTTGTTCTGCGGCCTGCCTTGCAATTGCAAGGTCCTGAGTTCAATACCCGGTACCAAAAAAAAAAAAAAAAAAAAAGTTGGAAGAAATGATTGAACATAGTAAGTGGAGATGTGGAAAATATAAAAGATTCAATTCAAGCTTCTAAATATAAAAACTAAGTTTTCTAAAACTACAAGGGATGATATTAGACACTGCAGGAAAACAATATTAATGAATCTAAAGACACAAATATAGAAACTATTCAAAAAGAATAAAAGAAAAAGGACTGAAAGGTACAGTGTGTAGAGAGTTGCAGGGCAACTTCACGGAGACTCTTACAGTGAATCAGATGTCCGAAGAAGAAATTCTCTCTCAGTACCCACGGACCATGTTCCAGGGCCCCCTGAAGAGACAAGCATCTTGAGATGTGCAAGTCCCTTATGTGAAAAGGCACAGTGTTTGCATATAACCCACGCACATTCTGTCTCACAATTTAAATCATCTCCAGATTACTAGATTACTTACTACAATGTAGATGTCATGTAGGTGCTTGTTATACTATATGGTTAAGGGAATAATGACAAGAAAACAAACCCACATGTTCAATACAGATACAATTTTTTTCAAAATATTTTTGATCTGTCATTGGTTGAATCTACAAATGCAGTCCCAGCAGAGGTAGAGGCTCTAACTGCATAAAGAGAGGGGAACTAGAAAAAATATTTCAAGGAAAGATTGTTGAAATGTTTCATTTTTTAAAAATATGGACTCAGATCAGGAAAGCAATGGACTTCAGGCACAAGAAACAAGAACCAAGGCACATAATAATCAAAACACTTTTAAAAAGGGATAGAAAGAAAATGTTTAAATCAGGCAGAACAGGGGCTTTTTTTCTTGAGACAGGGTATAGTTTAGGCTGATCTGGAACTTGATAGTAGCCCAGGCTGGCTTCAAACTTACGGCAGTCCTACTGTCTCAGCCTCCCAAGTGCTGGGTTTACAGGCGTGTGCCACCAGGGCACTTTAGCAACTTGCTGAGACCCTGTCTCAGAATAAGAAATAAAAAAAGACTGCCAGGCGTGTGGCACATGTCTGTAATCTCAGCACTCAGGAGGCTGAGACAGGAGGAACTGTGAGTTTGAGACCAGTCTGGGCTACACAGTGAGATCCAGGCAGTCTGAACTACATAGTGAGACCCTGTCTCAAAAGGAAAGAGAGAGAGAGAGAGAGAGAGAGAGAGGGTTGATTATGTAGCTCAGTGTGAAGAATTTTTGGTTCAATCCCCAGTGCTACAAGAAAAATATATAATTTTTAAAATAATTGACTATTTAAAACTAATAACAATAATAATAATATCATGAGATTTATAGTAAATGTAGAAGTAAAATGTTTGATGACAATAGCACAAAGGTCAGGAAGGGAAAAATAAAAATATATTCTTTCAAGGTTCTTCACTATATATAAAGTGTTATAACATCACTTGATGGTAGTGATAAGTTGTAAACTCTAAAGTAGATATCAATAAACTTTTTCTATAAAGGGCCACATAATAAATATCTTAGGTTTTGTAGGTTATAGGTTACAGCCATTCAACCTTGCCATTATAGAGTAAAAGCACCCACAGACAACAGATAAATAGAGATAAATGTGTTCCAACAAAATTTTATTAATAAAAATATAGTGGGTCAGGGGCCAGGGATGTAGCTTAGTGGCACCATGCCTGCCTTGCAAGTGCAAGGTCCTGAGATGGATCCCTGGTACCAAGATATATATATATTGGGTCATACTTGGCCCAAAGTTTTTCAACATTTTCTCTAAGGCAACCTCTAGGCAAACACTGCACAGAGTTATTCCTAATAAGCTAACAAAGAAAATGAAGTAAAAGCATAAAAGATACTCAATATAAAAAACTAGAAAATAAAGAACAGATGTGTCAGATAGAAATCAAATCACAATAGACTTAAATTTACACAGAAATAATTACATTAAATTTAAGTAGTCCAAATATCCCAATTAAAAGACAGGGGTTGTCAGATTGGATAAGAAAAATGGTCTAACTATATGCTGCCTGTAGGAAACATACTTTAAAAATAAACCCAGAAGTTAAAAGTAAAGAAAGATTTCACTGTGTAATGAAACATGTACTAATAAAAAACATTTTTTTAATTTTTAAAAAGGACTTGCAGTCAGAACTTGAGTTTTAGGAAATAAAAGAATATTTCTTTCATATCTAAAATTAAACACAGACATTCCTCATTTAATGACTGAGTTCCATTCCTTGCTAAATGAGGAATTGTATATAGTATGTATGTTACAATATTCAAAACAAAGAAGTGGTCAAAGGAAACTCCAATTTGATGACTTTGCTTTTATTTGCATAATTCTTGCATGCAGTACTGTAATGTATAACAGAACATAAAATTACAGTACTGCTGCTTTTATTTCCATAATTCTTGCATGCAGTACTATAATGTATATCAGAACATAAAATTACAGTACTGCTGCTTTTATTTGCATAATTCTTGCATGCAGTTCTGTAATGTATAACAGAACGTAAAATTACAGTACTGCACAGCACAATCAGCAACAATCACAGTATTGTATAAACAAGGTGTACTGTACCCCAAAAAAGACATTAGGGCTCTATAAACAAGATGTACAGAACTGTACCAAAAAAGGACATTCAAGCTAACATTTTAGCCTCAGTCATAAATCTGAACAGTCTTTAAATAGGTATGTCATTAAACAAGGAGTATCTGTTCTATGGCTCTTGCCAGATACATGGAAATAAGTGCTTTTATTCTTGAAGGCACATCCTTCTTCTCTCATCCTTTCTTCTCATCCTTTCTGCCCAATCATCGCACTTGGGGAAGAGGGGCTAAAGTAAATCCATTTGATATGCCTTAAGGATGACCTTGATCACCAGGAGTGGTGGTGCACGCCTGTCATCTCAGCACTCAGAAGGCTGAGGCAGGAGGTTCGCTGGGAGTTTGAGACCAGCCTGGGCTACACAGTGAGTTCCAGGTCAGTTTCAACTACATAGTGAGACCCTGTCTCAAAAAGAAAGTATGACCTTGATGACACAACCTAAGATTTACCACATTCCTGCCACCTGTGCTCTTGTATTCTAATATATCTCAGGAGCTCTCTCTTTCTCCCAGCAGCATAATGTTATTTAAATTCACTAGACCTTTCTTTACTTTGTTGGCAAATCTGGAATATTTGCCAAGGTGTTCAGCTTCCCGGGTAGAGCAGCTCATGTTAGCGAAGTTTTGTGGTGTGTTCCATTTGTTTGAGGAAAAACTCTGCTACATGTTCTTCTAAGCACCTGAAAGAGCAAAACAGCATTTGTAGGTGGGATGGCAAATGAGGCCTGTCCCTTCCCTTTTCCCTCTGTCAGCTGCTGGAGGGGGATGGGGAATCCCACTAACAGTCATCATGCTCTTCCCCTTTGCCACCCCAAGGGGGCGCTGGAGTGACAGCCCCTGTGCCTTCTTGCCCGCCAGCTCTACAGTTCCCTCCACAGTAGCCTCCACGCTCACTACCAGTCTTGACAAGAGCCCAGTTGGGCCTATACCTGTGACAACCTTCCCCTCTTCCAGGCCACTACCGCTGCTTCTCTGAGGATTGGTGGAGGACCACACCTAACAGGGCAAAGTCTTGGGCCCTCTGCTGCATCTCCAAAATCCTCAAACCGCAATGGGCCATGATTAACACTGCTGCCTTCCTGGAAACTCCTTCAAAGCAGTACCAGCAATGATTTAACCCCCGCCCCTCTTCTTTTTGGCAGAAACACAGGAGTTGTCAGTCAAGTGGCTGTTTCTCCATAGTTCTGTGGAGCTGTCACCACGACAGCTGAGGCTGCCCTAGATGTCCCATGGCCACTGCAGGAGATAACTGGCCTTACCCACACTTGGCTTGACACGTGGACCTGTCCTAGATGACCCTACCCTGAAACCTCCAGATGACCCTGCTCCCCTCTGTCACCATTTCAGAAGTCCCCACATAGGCCCACAAAATGCAGGAGACTGCAGGCGTGGTCCCACTTAGCCTCTGTATAAGTAGGACTACCCTACGGTCCTTGAGTCAGGCTAGAAGGGCTCTCTTCAGTACGCTACCTTCCAGTGCTGCAGCTTAGATCCTGATGAAAGCCTTGCTCTTATTGTCTTATTGTTTACTCGTGATTCGTATTCTCATACAGCACGGGCTGAGCTGGTTACACTAAAAAGATCGAGTGACACTAGGGGCTGTAAGCTCTGAAGAGCTCCAGGGAACAATGGAGAGCCAAGCACGAGAGAACAGAGGAAACGTGGAGAGGAGCAGAGACCTGCAGTAACCTTTCGCAACCTTTGTAGACCCATGGATGAGCCCTAGAGAGACAGCAAAAGCTGTTGGGAGAGCTTCTTAAAACTGATAAGAGGACCCTGGCTGCTGAGGAGATTTTTGGATGGACAGGAACCACAGGAGCTATAACACTAAAAGCTGAGAAGCACTGACCCTCAAAGCCTCGAGCCGTTAATATCAAGGGACTTGCACTTTGTGCCAGCTTATGATTTCTATCCAAGTTCAACAAAAGAACCCCCCAGGGAGGAATCATTTCCCACTCCTGTTACTGTGATTGGATTCTGTACTATCCACAGGCCAGACTGAAAAATCTTGTGAGGCAGAGGCTGAGATTCACCAGGTGGTGTAACATACTTCCCAAGTCCAAAGCACAGTGTGTGTGTGTTGCCTGCAGTAAGACTCTGCAACAGTTCACTGGTGATGTTGCTTACAAAGTGACTGAACCCTTGAATTTTGTTTTCATTTCATACATTTAGCCTTCCTGAAAAATAATTTACATATAATAAAATTAATTGGTGTTAAGTGTACAATTCTAGAGCCAGCTCACTTCCAAAACCTTCTCCACTTGGAACTTCCCGAGTGCCCAATGTTGCTCTTTCCACCTGTGTCAGAGCTGAGTGTACTGCTTCCCACACTGACACCAGAGGCAGGAAAAAAGTTCTTGGTAATGGAGAAGGAAAATGGCAAGTGGTGACTGGTAGCAAAATTCACCTTCTCTGATATCCAGAATCCAGACACTGGAAAATAACAACTTGAGGAAGAAAAAAAAAAGGGTAGATCACTGGGAATCAGGAAGGAACTGACCAGAAAAATTAGAAGCTACAGAGGATTTGGAAAGATGGTCCACAATGCAGAGAAAAGAATGAAACAGTCTGGACTGTCTTCCCAGCTCATGGCTTGCAGCTCATGAGGAAGGAAACCTGGTTTCCCAGAAACAAAGTAAGCATCCAAGGATGGGACATGGGGGGGGACCGCAGTGGAGGGGCTGGGGATGTAGCCCAGTGGTGCAACACCTGCCTAGCAAACTTGAGGCCTTGAGTTCGATTCCTGATACTGAAGAAGAAAAAAGAAAAACAGCAGTGGAACACACGGCATTATGAAATGCAAAGACAGAGCAGGGTTTTGCTCCAAGGGGACTTCCTCCACACAGCAGGCAACAACCAGACAGGGATTCAAGTACAGGTATTGTTGGGGTCCCTGCTAGAGGAGGGGGCGCAATGAATGACCAAAAGCTGATGGCTAATGTCAAAGTTTATTTCTCACCCAGGGTGTTTATAGCAGTTTCAAGGCCACCCACAAAAGCATGATCACAGTGGTTTGATGATTAAAAGCAGTTACGAGCAGTGATTAACAGCAGTCATGAGCAGATACACATTGTTCAAACTAAAGACAGAACATCTAGATAAAACAACATCTGCTTATGACTAAAAGGGGGTGTAAACCAGAAATGGGAATAAAGAAGAGATTAGGGGGTTGTTTGTGGGTCAAGGGACTTGTCTTCAGCATGTTGCCTTCGGGACACCTGTGCCCCGGTGAGAACCAGCATTCCGGGACTCGGGGTCAGCATTTCGGCCATTCGTTCTCTCATGCCCTAACAAGGTACTATGCCATATGACCAGAATATGCTAATCAGGCACCGTTTCAAGAAGAGGTTGATTATGTAAATCTGGGACTCAAAACAACTCAAAAATAACTTCACTTCAGGATCCCCCACGATACCCTGCCACAGTGACTGGGTGAGAGACAGCCAGAGGGGATAGCCGCAGACAGGGAGTGGGTAGAAAGAGATCCCCTGAGAAGTTTAAACTCAGGCCAGGAAGGACACAGGCCCCACTCTCCAGGACAAGAAGCCAGGCTCAGCATAGGTTGTGCTCAGAAACAGGTGGGTCTGAAAGTGCATTAAAGTCTGGAATTGGGGTGACTCCTGCCTTGCTCTTGTTGCCCAAGACTGCGTTTGCTATTCTAGGTCTTTTCTGGTTCCATGTGAATTTTGGAATTGTTTTTTCTAATTCTGAGAGCAATGCTATTAGTATTTTAATTGGAATTGCATTAAATCTGTATATCAGATTTTGGAAGTCTGGTCATTTTTACTATATTTGTTCTGCCTATACAGGTACGAGGTTTATTTTTCCATTTTCTGCTGTCCTCTTTCATCTCCTTTTTTCCAGAGTATTATAGTTTTCATTGTAGAGGTCTTTTATTTCATTCATTAGGTTAATTCCTAATATTTAGGATTTTTCTTGATGTTATTATGAAAGGTATTATTTCCCTAATTTACTTTTTGGTATACAAGAATGCTATTGATTTTTGTGTGTTGAATTTGTATTCTGCTATGGTGCTGAATTTGATTATTAATTCTAGAACTGTTCTGGAATTTTTTGGGTCTTCTATGTAGAGGGTTGGGTCATCCGCAAATAAAGACAATTTCAGTTCTTCCTTTTCTATACATATCTCATTTCTTTCTCTTGCCTGATTGCTCTAGCAAATTTTTTGAGAACTATATTGAACAGAAGTGGTAATAGCAGACATCCTTTTCTTCCTGATTTTTAGAGGGAAAGCTTTGAGTTTCTCCCCATTTAAAATGATGTTGTCCATTGGTTTGTCATAATGGCTTTTATCAGGTTATGATAAGGTCCTTTTGTACCTATTTTCTTCAGGTTTTTTTAAATAATAAATGGATGTTGGATTTTTGTCAATAGCTTTTTCCACATCAATTGAGGTGATCATATGATATTTTTCCTTGCTTCTCTGTTTATATGACATATTGCATTTATTGGTTTGCATATGATGAACCATCCCTGCATTCCTGGGATGAATCCTGATTCGTCATGATGTATGAATTTTTTGATTTGTTGCATCCTCTTTGCCAGTATCTTGTTGAAGATTTTTGCATCTATGTTCATGAAAGAGATTGGCTTGTAATTCTTTTTTCTTTTTGTGCCTGAGGTTTATTTGTACAAAGAGCACAGGAGGACACAAGCCCCCTGTAGATGGCAGCCCAGGGGTCACACCAGTCCTTCTGTCCTTACATAGGGAGATAGAGGCATTTACTGTGGAGCCTTCACAGGGGCCTGGGTACCTTTGGGAGCCAGAGCTGGAGCAGAAGCTGAAGTAGCAGCCTGAGAATGGGCCTTGGCTGGAGCCTGGTCCTTGGTTGGAGCATGGGCCTTTGGCCAGCAAAGCCTGTGACCCTTGGCAATGTGGGCATGGCTATGCTTCCCGAGCTTGGGGTGGGCATTACAGGCAAGTCGAGCCAGCTTGCGATTCACACCCTTTGGGATCTTGGGCTTATGGGCAAAATGCATATTCCTTAGAAACTTTGGATCTGTCCCCTTCAGAGATTCTTATCTTTGCAATTGGAGTTTCTCAATGCCATTTCTGTGCCATTTTGGGGACTGGTTGTGCGTGGTATGATTCTTGAACTTAGCCATATCTGCACCATAATCCATGACTGCCAAGTGCCTGGGACTGGAAGAAGCTTTAGTTCTCTCTTTCGTTTGGGTTCTCTTCTGGGTTTGGATTCAGAGTAATGCTAGCTTCCAGGAATGACTTTTGGAGTACTCCTTCCCTTTCAAATTCATTAAAGATTCTGAGGAGTATTGGTATTGCATCTTCCCTAAAGTTCTTGTAGAATTTGATTCTTGTAGAATGGATTCCTGTAAATCCAGAGGGACCTAGGATTTTCTTAGTTAGAAGTTTTTTTTTAATAACTTCCTCAATCTTGTTGCCTGATATTAGATTATTCAGAGTTTTTATGTGTCTTGGTTTAGTTTTGATAGTTCATATGTATCTAGGAATTTCTTCTAACTTCTCCATTTTATTAGAGTATAGATTCTCAAAGTATTTACTAAAAATCTTCTGGATTAACAGAGTCAATTCAGACTTCACTTTTCCCATTTCTAATTGCATTGGTCTTTTATTTCCTTGTTTGGTAAGATTGTCTTTACTTCCTATTGTGCAGATGAAAAGTACTTTGCTTCTTCTTAATATTTTCAGCAACCTCACTCTCAGGGGCATCACAAGATGCTCGTGATGCGCAAGGCTTTGTTTTCTGGGGAAACCGAAAACTTTTAAAATGGGATTTTTGCCCCTTTTTCTCAGTGTAAATCTTGCTAAAAGTTACCAGCAGTACCCAAACTACAACCTGACCACTGGGCTGCCTTGAAATTTCCTCTGCCAGATAAATTACTCAGCTGCCCTCAATCTCAGTCTCCCACAAAATCTCAGGACATAAGAAAAATGTAAATAAATTTTCTGCTGGTGCATAATACAAATGGTCTGAAGACCAACTGTCAATGGAGTTTTTATTTCCAACTGAAACTACTTGAGCCTGGCTTTTACTGTCTGCATTTTTATCAGCACTGTGGTCAAGTGACCTCTGATCAGAATCTCCCATAAAGCATTCTAGGTGGCACCTCCAAATCCTCCCAACCCCCTCTTGCAAACCAGTTCCAAAGGCTTCTAAATCACATGGTTAGGTATATTCACAGCAATGACCCCACTACTCTGATGCCCAAATCTGTCTTAGTCACTTTTCTCATCACTAGGATAAAAATACCTGACACCTGAAACTTAAAGAAGAAGAGGTTTATTTTGGTTTCACAGTTCAGAAATTTGAGTCCGTGTTCAGCAGGCTGAAACATAGAAAACACATGGCGGAAGGGACTGAGTGGAATAAAGCTACTCATGTCTTGGCAGCCAGGAAGAAGAGAAGGAAAGGAAAGAGTCAGGGAAGAAAGTATATCCTTCTAGATTACAACCCAATGATCTGTCTCTATCTAGGCCCTACCTCCTAATAGCAAGGCAGCTATAGCATTCCCATAATCCAGTCACCTTCCATAAGTCCCATCTCTAGGTGGCTGTTCCGGATCTAAACTACAACATCACCATTCTTACTGCTTTCTCAAGCAGTTCTGCAAGTCCTTTGTCATGTCTTTACTTACACTGTTGCAGCTGCCTCAGTGTTCTGAGTCAAGTCAAAACTTTTACTTTTCATGGTCTTTTTGACTTTGGGGAAGAGCCAGAAGTCATAGGGTGCCAGATGTGGTGAATAACATAGATAAAAACATACTGTAATGTTTTCTTGAACCTGTCATTCTATTGAATAGCACTCACAGCAGCATTCACCATGTGATAGTTTTAATCACATGTCATAAAGTCATTCCTGAAAGAGGACTGCCCGAACCAATTCAGAAACTGGCAAGAAGGATGATCAATGTGTGAAGTGAGGGGAAGTATATATAATGACAATGTGTCTTTTACTGCAATAAAATTTTTTTTTCGATACTGGGGATCAAACTTGAGAACTTACACCTCAATGGCACCAATGAGCCAAATCCCTGCCCCCTATAATAAATATATGTATTTTTAAAGTTTACTGGGGTTTTTTCCCATTAAGTTTATTGGTACATTTAAAGCAAACAATACAGTTAAATTTATCATTGGGATCTTGTACCTATACATGATATATCTTGGTTCTTATTTTTCCCCTATTTCCCTGCTCCCTTCACCCCTTCACCTTTTGGGGGGTGGTATTGGGGATCAAACTCGGGTCCTTGCACTGCAAAGCATGTGGAACAACCGGTGAGCTAAATCCCCAGCCCAGCTTTTCATATTTATGAAGACTTTGTTTCCATTTTTTTCTTTTTTCATATTTTTTCTTTTAGCTGGCAAACCCCTAGGGCATTACACATTTAACATGCTAAATTTTGACATTTAGTGCCCCCTGGTGGGTACGGATGGTATGTAAAAGCTAGGCTATCACATATAATATGTAAAATGTAAAGCAAACATTTGAGATTGTTTTGAGTTTTCACAAAACATTAGAATTCTCCAGAACACAGTCTGAAAATCCTTGAGGTAGTTCACTGTTGGGCAGGTTTCATTGCTAGAAAGTTCCTTCCCTTATCAAAGTTGGGTCTTTTTTTCTTTATTTTAATTTTTACCTTAGGTCATTCTAATTTCAACCTTTGGAATCAACTCAGTATAATTCTCATTCCTCTGGTTCATTGATGAGTTTCAAAATTCAAATAGTTCATAGTCTTTTGTGACATTTTCATGTGCACGTGTGTGCACTGGGTCATACTATATGATGCATTTCTTACCATGAACAGAGTCAAAATGGTTTTGAAAAACACTGTTAGATGTAATTGTCCTTCAAGAATTTTAAGGCAGCCGGGCGTGGTGGCGCACACCTGTAATCCCAGCAATCAGGAGGCTGAGGCAGGACGATCGCTGTGAGTTCAAGACCAGCCTGAGCTACATAGTGAGTTCCAGGTCAGTCTCAACTACATAGTGAGACCCTGTCTCAATAAACCAAAAAAGAAAAAAAAAAAAAGAATTTGAATGCAACTGTCATATCTCATCACCTAATCCTCTTCCCCACGTGGGCTCTCCGTGGCATTTTCAATACATCCTCGTAGAGTGGGGGTTCCTTCTCCTCACTGTAAAGAGCAGTGTCCTCTGATCCTATGACCAGATTCATCTAGGCCTCTCCTCAAACCTTAGGAATGACTTCCCCAACCACTCTCTCTGAAGCACCACCTGTATTTTGTTGGGTGTTTGTTTGTTTGTTTGTTTGTTTGTTTTTTGGTAACCGGGGATCAAACTCGGGTCCTTGCACTTGTGAGGCAGGTGGTGGAACCACTGAGCTAAATCCATGGCCCCTTTGTCGTTTTTGAGACAGGTTCTTGCTATGTATTTCAGAATGACCTTAAACTCACTATGCAGCCCAGGCTGGCCCGGAACTCATAGTGATCCTCCTGCCTCAGCCTCTCTCTCCAGTGTTGGGATTACAGGTGTGCGCCACCATGGCTATCTTTTCTGGTGTTTTGTTTTGTTTTGGTTTTGGCTTTATTTTTTTTAATGCACTTTTCACTATCCAAACTATTTTGGCGATTCATTACTTTGTTTATGATCTTTCCAGAGCTAAATTCTCTACGTATGTAATTCATAGTTACAACAATAAGTATGCTTTCATTTACCAATTGTTTTTATGAAAAAATTATGATATATGCTACAGTATTATTATATTTATATTTAAATTATAGTATTATATATTTTATTCACCTATGTATTATTGTACAGGACATATATCAACATATACTAAACCAGATATAATGTTACTTTATGTGAAATGCTATCAAATTTACATGGCACGTTTGACTACAGGTGATTTTTCTCCACTTAGTTATAATGCTATTAAGTATCTCGGGAGTATTTTTCAAAGGATTCTCAGGTACATAACCCATCTGATATTTTTCTTAGTCTGAGAAAGTGTGTCAAGAGCTGAAAGGAATTTAAGCAGCCAGCTAGTGATCACTAGATCTCAGTCTCACCCTCTCATGTAACAGATAGGTAAACCGAGGCCCACAGAAAAGAAAACGGAGGGACACCCCAATTAGCTGGGTGGGCCACGGATGAGCTCGGAAAACCTTTGTATACTCGCAACGCTGAGGCAGAGGGATGGGATCCCCAAGCTACTCACGGAGGCTCAGTAGAGAAGGCGCAGAATGGGAGCAGTTTTCAGGGGGCTACACCGAGAACACGAGCCCAGGAAGGAGGGCCTTCCCACCCTTGAGGGATCACCTCATTCGGAGTAGCTACTCTTCACGCATCCAGAGACCGGGAGGTTTCAGTGGGTGCCCCATGAGGTGAGCCGTGACCTCCTTCTCCTGACTTCAAGGACTGACTGGTCCCCCAGTCCCAACCCCTTCCTACCTTGTCTGTCCAGGGGGTTCAGCTCTTCGGGCCCAACCCCCCGTCACTATGGCAACCACCGGCCAACACTTGCAGTCCACCTTCATTCAGCCAATAGTGTCCCGTTTCTTTAGCTTGTAAAGTTGTTGACCAATCATGACAGCCGTTTCAAAATTTGCAGGGAAGCGGCAAGAATTTTAGGGTTCAGGTTAAAATTAGTTACCCCTGGACCTGTGGGAGAACTAATAGGGTTTTTATCAAAACTCTTGGCGTTAGCTGGGGCGTGGAGGCGCACGCCTGTAATCCCAGCACTGGGAGGCTGAGGCAGGAGGATCAATGTGAGATCGAGACCAGCCTGGGCTACATAGTGAGTTCCAGGTCAGTCTCAACTACATAGTGAGACTCTGTCTCAAAAACAAAACTCTTGGCCTTGATGAAAAGCTTTACATTTTTTCCTCACTCAAAAAACTCTACTTTCAGGAATAAACCCGAGAGGATTTACCGGTATCCAATCCCAGTTTATGATAAACGACAGCTCCCTTTGAATTGACGATGAAACCCAAACATAAGCCGACCTTTGCAGATTCTTCTGTAGTCGCAGCCTCTGCCATCCGAGCCCCTGAAACTTCTCGCAGCAGCGCTGCTGGCCTGAGAGCAGTTGTCGCACTCCATAGTGGCTCTTGGTCATGGTAGAGGTCGCTTCCAAATGTTACTTCTTTGTCGGTGAAACGGGCATGAACCTAATGTATCACTCAAGAGATTGCTGCTGGGATCTAACCAAAAAGCGTGCGCATCAAAGAAAAATGGTGTGTGATGAAAGGCTTTTTGTCCTCTGCAGAGCTCCGTTCGCATGTTTATGACAGCCGAACCCGGGGGAAACAGTAATTGGGTGCTAGGGAGGTTGTCGCCCTCCAACATGACTGAGCATGACTCTCCCACAGGTGGGAGAGAAGAGAATACAGGACACGTACTCAGGGGCCCCAGTACCCGCGAGGGCTTTGGGAGAGCTGGGTCTTGACTTTCAGGATTTGAATACCTGGTGGGAAAGTGACATGCAAAACAGCAAGGAGCAAACTGCGAGAATAAGGGAGGACCCCTGGCCAGCTGTTGAATCCGAGCTCACGCGTTAGGCCGGTGGAGGTGACCAATCACCTGAGCTCCCCAGGACAGCCAGAGATGGAGGAAGAGGGTTCCACTGTTCTTCCGGTGGCCGCTAGAGGGGACCCCTCCAGGTGAGCTGCAGGCTCGGGCGCTGGTCTCTCCCCTACGCGTCAAACAAGCTTAGCAGCGCAGCCAATAGCCAGAGGCCGTCCCGCCCAATCCCTGCTCACAGCCATTCGCCTGCGCGAACCCCCTCCCCCGCCAGCTTCTGACTGGCAGAACGCCCGACAAATCATATCGCGACCTTTGAAAGCAAAACACTGCTGCACTTTGGCAGCTCCGAGTGAGGAAGGAATTAAGAAGGCTCTCCCTCCGGATTTCGCGAAGAGTCCGGGTCATTTCTCAGAAACCTCTGACAGGTGGACCTTAGAGGAAACCCCACCGGTGAGTCGTGGTTAAGACAGGGGAGAAGGGGAACCTGAATTCAGCCTTAGTTTTTCAGGAAAGCTATACATTTATATCATCCAACGAGCCTTAGTAGAAACACTCTCCTCCCTCCTAGATGTTGCCAATCTTGGCAGTTTGGATCCTGTTGCTTGGAAGTTCTTTTATTTTTTAAATCCATTTTTGCATCAGAAATAAAGCGAGAGAGGGGGAGAGGGAGAGACGGAAAGAGGGAGAGAGAGGATGGGACAAGGGCTTGCCTTAATAAACATAATGCCAGGCTTTACCAAATCAGGAAGTGAAATGCAATAACTTTGCCAAAATGACTCCTCTAGATGCCGGCTTGGGCATCCCGGAATAGCAGACGGTGGATTCGCAGGTGGGATGAAGGGACGCATTCATTCTCGGTCTTTGCTGGCTGCCTTGCTGCAGCTGCAGTTTCCAGCTCAGTGGGAGGGGACGGAAGAGCGCAACCCTTCCGCGAGAGCCAAAGCCGCAGGCAGGGAAAGCTTGGCATGTAACTGACACCAGCTAGAAGCCGAATCGTCAGGTGGTGGACAAGCACATGTTTTATTTATGTTTTCAGTGAGAGTCAAGTTTTAACACAGACCCTCCTCTTAGTGGCCGCGAGCCAAGGTAACTTCCTCTGTGAAGGCTGCTCTGTGGGATTGGTAAAATAATGTACTGAGATAAGGGCTGGGGCATGGAGTGGAAGCAAGCACCTGATGACTTCTCTTTCTTCTGTGGAGTCAATGACCATGACCTGTGACTGTCAGCACGGAGTTGGCTGCTTGCTTCTCAAACATATATGCTAACAGCTTCGTTCTAGAACCAGGAAAAAGTCACTAGGCAAAGAACTTGTGCCTTATAAGGAAGTAAAACTTGTAGAGTTCCACCAAGGCTTTCAATGCAAACTTCCAGCAGCTGGAAGAGAACCTTCTTCTGTCCTGGTAGAAGATGCTGTAGAGGCCCAGGGTTTCCTGGGGATGGGAAGGGTCTGTTTAAAAGCCAATGAAACTACGGTAAACAGAAGCAAAGCTAGAAAAGCAGCTGAGCTAAAGCAGATTAAGAGGCCTGGATCCCTGCCACCCCCTTAGCAGGTTCCCGAGGCCTGTTTGCTTTCTCTGAAATCCGGTGGGTGGGGTTGGGTATATCAGTTTGTTGTTGCTCCGAAGTTGTGGTTGACTGGGCCTGAGTCAGGCATTTTTGACTCTGTAGTGACCATAGCACACCAGGTGCTTAACAGGCCTGCAGTCAGTTAGGCTGGGGGGTGGTGTACAAGTTGTTTTACCCAGCCCTGGGCTAGATCTCAGGGAATTCAAACACTTTCCTATGATTTATGTCCAGTCCCCCTTCAACTCCAGATGGGATACCTCCCAGAACCTCTCAGAGGTAGAAAGAGCCCTGAGCCATGCTTTCTTTTATGACTCTCATTATATTAAAAGTGCCAAAATTGGATACAGAAATTAACACAAGAATGCTTTTCACATGTATATCAAAGTCTGGTGAAGAATTATAATGCTTTTCCCATAATTTTGCAATAATGTCTTCACAAGTTTTTAGAGGCCTGGAAGTCTGGTTGTGGGCTGAGTTAGAGTTCCCTGATGAATGTACCTCATGTATCAATGTTGCCTCAGCTAGAGGCAGCAGCGGTAATTTAATTGTGAGGCCCTTTGATAAAGTGAGGGGAGGGCCAGGTGATCGCATGGGCTGCCCCATACTAAGCCTGCATCTTTATCTGCTAGGTACTGGATGTAGTGTTTGCTCTCTGACTTCAGCAGGTGCAATTCACACCAGGTACCAGAATTCCTGGGCCTGGTGCATGATGGGAGAAGCTAAGGAATAGTCAGCTCTCTGAATGCTGGGGTGTGGTAGAAACTGTTTAGCACACAGTGAGCCCTCAATCTTCCTTGGGTGGATGCCTGATGGAAAGGAGAGGATAAGCATGAGTAAATTAAGTGAATTAACTAGCGAGAACAAGTACTAGGAACAGCGGACATCCCTTGATCATTTGCTGTGCATGAATTTTGCATGCCTTGTTTCATTAAATGTGCACAAATGCCCTGTGGAAGAGGAACATTATTTTATAGCTAGGGAAACTGGCTAAATAGTTAAATAACCTGGCCAAGATAAAACAGGTAGTACATGGCAAATCAAAAGCAATTAAAAACATTTTTATATTGGAATAAACAAAATGTGCAGTAGTATCCAAATTTATATGATTTTTGCTCGGTCTGGGGCTTTTTTGTGTTTAGTGATGGGATTGATTTTTTTTTTAAATACACGAAATCATTAGCAAGGGTTTGGTCCCAAACACTATGGGCATATTTTCTCTTGCTCCTCTGTTTGGTAGAAAAGCTTGAAAAAGTATCCGTCCAATGAAATTAACAGGGATGATCACCATCGCCGGTTCTGGTTGAGGCCATGTATTACCCCCAGTTTATATGTGGGGACACTGAGTCGCTGAGAGGCAAAGGGGCCTGGTCACACAGGCCTCCCACCTCCCAGCGCAGCACCCTCACCTGTGCAGGCTGACCTTGGGTAGCAGGAAGCTCTTCCATCTTCCCTGGAGATAGCTTTTCTTCTCCTTCTTTGCTTCTTCCTACATGGAAACCCAGATGACGACTCCATTTTAATGGCCCGGGATCATTTTGTTTTGTTTTGTTTTGTTATTGAGATGTGGAATAATGGACTTGGCAGTGTTCTAATTCTTGTCCTCAAGACCTTATGAGGAAAAGAACAGTTTAAATTACAGGCAGAAAGAAGGGAGAGTTGGAGAGGAAAGAGGAAGTCTAGAGCCAGAGAGAAAGCTTTGGTGTAGATAAGTGATATCTCTTAACGGGCCAATGGTGTGACACAATGTCTTCACCAGCCTCTCTCCTCACGGCCAGTTAGTTGTGTTTTATCTTCGTGGTGGTTTCAGGGAGCAAAGCTTGGCTTACTGCTTCTCTGAACACCCACTTTTAACGTTCCTGTCCACCACCCTAGAGCACAGCAAGACTCAGAAAACACACCCTTGCCTGCCTGCTCAGGAGACACAGAAATTGGCTCCTCGCAGAGAAACTGAAGAGAAACCTGTACATCAGCCAAAAGAGCCTCGAGTACTCTTTTGGCGAGAGGAAGAGATGGCTGCTGGAGGGAGGTGAATGCAAGGAGAGATGGCTTCCTGCTGGGACCGGGCTTAGCAGCCGCTCCAACTCTCAGTCGCCTCGGGCAGGATGTGCCACTAGACCGCCATGGACACAACCCCCGGCGCAGCCCTGCGTCTGCAGCAGTTCCCGCCCACCAGCAGCGCTGCCTCCATGAGTGTGGGCGAGGGCTCCTTCTCCTACAAGGCAAGTGCTCATTTTTCAGTATTGGACTTTTTCGTGTTTCTAACAGAAAGTAACAAATGAAGCATTGGTTGACAGATGAGTCTAGGGTCTGCATGTTTGTTGCAGGCAGACACAAGCGGGCTCTCTACATATACAGGGCAGAGCGGACGCAAAAGAAAAGAAATGCCCATTAAAATACATAAAATAGGGAAGTAGAGAAACATGGGGGGAGTTACATGACCACTTAGAACAACATAGTTTTTAAAAATCACCTACTCTGAGCCACACAAAATGGCAAACACTTGTAATCCCAGCTACTTGGGAGGCTGAGGCAGGAGTGTGAAGTCAGCACAGGCAACTTAGCAAGACCCTGTCTCCAAAAAAGAGAGAGAATCCACGTATTCCATTACTTGGTGACTATCTGTATTCGTATTTTAGTTTATCTCCTTGTTTCTTCTGGCATTACAGATGTGGGACCACATTATACATAGGATTTTTGAACTTGGTTGTTTGACTGTCTTTTTTTTTTGTACCAGGGATCAAACTCAAGTCCTTGTACTTACAAGACTGGTGGCAGAATCACTGAGCTAAATCCCCAGCCCTTGACTCAGTCTTACTTGTGGAATATTTCCCCGTGGCATCATGAGGCATTGAAAGCATGTTTTTTGGAATGACTGCCCAGGACTCGAGCTGCTGTGTGAAAATGTGCGTGGCAGATCCCTTCTTATTGGATATCCAGGTTGTTGATAATCTGGAATGACTATCAGCAGTGTACATCCCAGAGTGTAAATTGATTATTTCCTTAGTCAGATAGGTATGATGAAGAGGTCAAAGGGAATGATCCTTTTTTAAAATAAGGATTATTTTTTTTGTTTTGTTTTTGGTACCAGGGATCAAACTTGGGTCCTTGTGCTTGCGAGGCAGGTGACGGCACCACTGAGCTAAATCCCTGGCCCTATTAAGGGGTTTTTATAATGTCAGTTTTGCACATTTCTAAACACCTCTCCATGAAGCATTTGAAACACTTAGCAATGCAGCATCTGGGTTTTTTAAATATATATATATAAAAAGTTTTCTTTCCTGGATTAGTGAGCATCTGATAATACCCTGGAGCCAAAGGAGCCCTAGAGATCATCACATGAAACCCTCTCATGTGCTCTCTTTTATAGACCGGGAAAATGATGCTGAAAGTTGAGAAGTGACATACTTAGCAAATTGAGTGACAGACCTAGAACTATTATTAATTCTGGATAATAATTACATTAAAAAGAATAATGACTAGTATTTATTGATCTTTTACTCTGTCCCAGGCACTGTGCTAAGTTCTGCATATGTATTTTCTCAGGTAATCTTCACAACAGCACTAAGATGAGGCAAAATTTGTCTTTCTGTAAAGTGGGGATAACGAGATAGCTGCCTCCTAGCAGTTATGAGGAACAAATGAGTTCAGCTGTGGGAAGCACTCAGTAGAGTCACCCACGCATAATGGCCAACTTCATCATGCGCTTTCTATTACCATTTTCATCCCCATTTTGGAGACAAGAAAACTGAGGCACAGAGAGGCGATGCTGGCCCCAGCTGAACAGAATTCAAACCTGGGACAGATGGACTACAGCATCCGTGCTCCTAACCACTGCCTCCCTGGTGTTCTGGCTCTCCAGCCAGAGCTCTCTCTGCCCAGCGCACTCCAGTGTTCTGGGTCACCCCGTATGCCAAAGAGGGTATAAGGCCGAGAGAGACAAATGGGGGCACTAGGGATGATGAGAGGGCTCATATCATTTTAATTCTGGCGACCAGCCAGGCAGAATATACGCACATAGAAGATACGATAGTTTGCCTGGAATTGGACTCATTCTAAAGAAAGGACAGCAGACTCATACCGAAGAGCGCCTGCTAGTTCAGGTCCAAGATCGCATGGTTTTCTCAGCTTTGGCATCTTGCTCCTTGATCTTCTTCCCATAGAGACTGTTCGTTCCCCTCCCTTTGTGGCCACCATATTCTTCCAGGGCCTTGACAGTGAGAGCATCTGCCTGAAAATGAGAGACCTGGGATCTTGCCCAGCTCTGTCATCACTGGCTGGGTGATCTCAGGCAAATCTGTCCTGTCCCCCTGAGCCTCGGACTGCATCTCTGTAAAATAAAGGAGCAGAGTTCGTGGATGGTCCCCAGTCTTGGCTGAGGGCTGTAAAATGCACAGATTTCTCAGCTTTGGGCTCATCTTTCTCAACTTTCACCTTTTTAACCCTTCATCTCTGCCCTCCTTCAAACTGAGGTTGAGCATATCTAGGATAGAAATCTTAAATCCGCATTTTATAAAGCCTCCCAGGTGTGGGACTGGCTAGACAAAATGACCTGCAAAGCCCGCAACTTAGCATCCTGAGAAATGAAGATCTCCAGCCGCTGTGTCTTCGTCCTCACTGCTATGCACTGTGAGCGAAGCCGATCTTTCTCCTGTGGGCAGTGTTTCTGATTTGGCTTTACAGGGCCCGTGAGCTTCAAGGTGCATTACTCAGAGTAGAGCTCACTTTTCAGGCCAGACTTTTTTCTGCACGAACATGTCCATCCCCCGTTCAGCGGTACTCACCCTCCCATCAAGTCAGCAGACATACAGACAGTGAGACAGTCTTGACTTGGGGAGGAATTTTAGGAGCCTTAGGCCAGCCTGAATGAAGACCCCCAGGACCTTACATCTTGAAGGTGCTGAGTGCCTTAACTGAAGCAATGAGAACAACCCGATCTGCCTCTTGGTATTCAGAAGTTAACACCATTCAGTGTCATGATGGAAGCTGTTCTCTCTGATTATGCCCGGGTCTTCATTTCTAAAGGTGGTGGAGTGATATATGGAGGTGCCATTGAAAGGAGATACCTTTTATTTATAGTTCCCAAGAAAAGGTGACAGACATGTGGTGCACCTGAGTGAGTTAGGAGGCAGACAGCAAAGGCTCCATCCAAGGAGAGGACAAGGCAGGACTGGTTAACACCTCAGGACTGGCTAATTTGTGTAGTTCCAGAGGACTTTGAGACATAGGAATAATTCCACAGGGCTTTTCCTTATTGCCTGGTACCCAGCCCTGGGTTAATGTAGGGTAGGAGAAGTACTGATATATGACAGTTTGATAGGGGGCCGGGATTTAGCTCCACGGTGCCTCACCCTGCCTCACAACCACAAGGTCCTGAGTTTGATCTCCAGTACCCCCCAAAAAAGCGTTTGATAAAGGAGCAGAGAGAAGTGTGGGCTCTGACTGGTTAGTTAGCATAGGGGAGGTGGGTTCCTCTGCTGTTTCCTTTGCCAGCCCTGGGAGGCGCAGTCTCTGCACTGACAGCAAGGCCAGAAATGCCAGAGCATCAAGAATACAGAGGATAAGGCCGGGCGTGGTGGCGCACGCCTGTAATCCCAGCACTCGGGAGGCTGAGGCAGGAGAATCACAATGTGTGTTCAAGACCATCCTGGCTACATAGTGAGTTCCATGTCAGTCTCAACTACATAGTGAGACCCTGTCTCTAAAAACCAAAAAAAAAAAAAAAAAAAA